CCGCGGCGAGAACTGCGACCCCCAGGGGGGAGGAGGTGAAGGGAGAAAGGGAGGGGGGGCATCAGGACATCAGAGCTCTTCGCACGACAGAAACTGAGTGGGCAATGGAGGCTCGCCGATTTCACTCTGCAGATCAGGAAAATACCTGGACGGACCGACTTCGACGGCCCACTCGGGAGGGGGTACTCTCCACGCGGAGAGGGGAGGGGGTGGGAGGGACGGAGGGACGGAGGGAGAAGGGGAGCGAGAGGAGAGGCGGACGAGAGAGGGAGCGAGGGAGAGGGCAAGACAGGTGCGCTCAGGCCAGATTTGACATCCTGCCCCTCCTTCGCATCACTTCCTGTTGCGCTGGCTTGTCTCCACCCGCCGACGGGTGATGTAGCGAACACAGAGCCCCCAGAGGGCACCATCCTGTCATGAGCGGCAGGAGAACTGGAGCTGTGCATTTCCAGCATGGCAGTAGTGCCCAATCCCCCATTCCACGCGTGCCCGCTCGAGGACGGTGCACTTCCCGCATGGCAGCTAATGCATAAACCCTCATTCTATGCGCGCCCGCTTGAGGATTATCTATGCCCTTCCCGCATGGCAGCTAATGCCTGACCCGCCTGCCACGCATGCCAGCTCGAGGATGGTACACTTCCCGCATGGCAACGAATGCCTGGACCCTCATTGCATGCGCGCCCGCTCGAGGATTGTGCACTTCCCGAACGGCTGCTCATTCCTAGACCCCTCATCCAACGCGCACCCGCTCGAGGATCGTGCACTCCCCGCATTCCCAGGCACTGCTCCCAAGCGCTCCAGGGCCTTCCAAGCCACGATCCCTTGTTAGCAACGATGGATATGCGTCCCGAGCTCATAAGACGACCCGTGCAAGCAACCAAGGACACCACCAAGATGCCTCGCAGACGGCCCAATATGGCCCACTAATCTTGATTCAAGACTGTCCGAGACACATCCAAGAGGCCCCAGCATTGCCACAACAGAACCTCCAAAAGGGTCATAAGAAGCCACAGCCATTCCTCGGGATGTGGGAATCATCTTCGACTTCTCGCCTTTTCGGGCTGCCGTCAGCTCAAGACGGCCTATGAGGACTCCACGATGGCCCTAGAGGTATCCAAAACGGCCCAAATACGGCCCAAGCGGGCCGTCCGTGGGACCCAAAACGGCCTTGGAAGGTCATTCGACAACCCAAAACTGCGCCCAAGCGGCCCCACGACGGCTCCCAGACACCCGCAATACGGCCAAGGGGGCCCCGAGACGGCCCAAATCTGGCGTAAGAGGGGCCCAACAACGGTCACAAGGGACCCAAGACTGCCTCACACGAGGACATGGCAACCCCAAGACGGGCAAGCCGAGTTTCACCATCATCATCGTTAACATCATCATCATCATCATCATCATCATCATCATCATCATCATCATCATCATCATCGTCATCATCAGCAGCAGCAGCAGCATCAGCATCAGCATCAGCATCAGCATCATCAGCAGCATCAGCACCAGCATCAGCATCAGCATCACCATCATCAGCAGCAGTATCATCATCGTCATCATCACCACCACCATCATCATCAGCTTCATCATCAGCAGCAGCAGCACCAGCATCAGCATCAGCATCATCAGCATCATCACCACCATCACCATCACCATCACCATCATCAGCATCATCACCATCACCGTCAGCAGCATCACCATCATCGAAACCATCATAATCAGCATCACCACCATCGCCAATACCATCAGAACCAGCATCAGTATCCGCATTAGCACCATCATCATCACCATCATCACCATCATCTTCATCACAACCACTCAACAGCATCATCATCGACATCAGCATCCGCATCATCATCAGTATCATCATCAGCAGAATCAGCATCAACACCGACAGCATCAGCATCATCATCATCCTTACCCTGACCCTCATCCTCATACTCATCCTCATCGGCATCCTCATCCGCATCCGCATCCGCATCCGCATCGTCATCCCATCCTCATCCTCATCCTCATCCTCATCCTCATCCTCAGACACGAGGTGTCACACGTGACGGCCTCCCGTGCCCCTTCGAACAGTCGCCACCCAGAATGATTGGCTGGCACGGTGACGAGACTTGCTGCAGGCATTCGGATAACACGCACGCACATGTTGAAATGCACGGGAATACAATGCGCGGAAGGGGGGCCATCCCCACTGGACGCCTTCGGCCGCAAGAAAACAATGATGCTCATATTGAGTACCCGTGGAGGTGAGGGGAAGGGGGAGCGGAGGGAGGGAGGGAGAGCGGAGGGCAAAAGCAAAGAACCATCGCACCCAATGTCTCCCACTGCTACGAGACTAAACCAACCGGATCTACCCATCGGTCGGAAGAAGTAGCTAGAAACATGAAGTAGGACAGCAATGAACGCACAAGCCTGCAGACGGCCCCCCTTGGGAAAGTATCCAATGGGCGGCTCACTTGCCATCGCTCGGACGTCCGTTCCCCCATGCATTTGTCTGTGTTGTGGGTTCATGTTTCGCGCGATGATCCAAGATGCTCCTCGATGGTCCTCGCGGGGAAAAAAACGCCCACGTTTGAGCGATGGCAAGCTCATGCACCCCCCCTCCCTCCGAATCACAGGAAAGCCCCGTCGCACACTGGGCAGCCCCCATTGGGCTCCACCCCTATCGCTCGACGACTCGCGGAGAGCTGAGAGGGACAAGAGCTGGGATTGCTGCTGCTCCTCCGAACAGGGGATCGACTACAGAACTGACTTACCCAGAACCGATATGTTCGCCAGGTCTACGACAAAAACTACGTCGAACGTCGTACTACAAACATTGGACGTACCTTTTTCAGATTCGCCGAAGATTTCAATTTTAGGGGCAAACCAACTCTGAAATCAATCCCCTGCTGCTGGGACTGCTGCTGCTCGGGAGCCCACAAAGGCCACGTACACGAACACGGCCGCCCAGTCCGCGAGACGAGCCACGTGATACGAACGTGGGCGCAAAACGTGCGAACGAAACCAACGTGGATTTATGTACGTGTGCACGCAGGTCGGAAGAAGTCGGTAAAACATCAAAAAGGAAGGCGGATAAAGTAGATAGGGTTCTGCCCCTCCCAGAGAGCCACAAGACACGGCAAAAACAGATCGACTCTTGAAGTGGGAAGGCGCTAGAAACAACTTCGGACCTGGGAGCTCAAAAATACTTCCTGTCAGCGACCAGCGTGTACGTGTACGTCCCTCTTTCGCTCCCAAGCTGCTCCTCCCTCCCTCCCCCTCCTTCTCCTCCTCCTCCTCCTCCTCCTCCTCCGCCTCCTCCTCCTCCTCCTGCTCATCATCCTCCTCCTGCTCTCCTCCTCCTCCTCCTCCTCCTCCTCCTCCTCCTCCCCCTCCTCCTCCTCCTCCTCCTCCTCCTCCTCCCCCTCCTCCTCCTCCTCCTCCTCCTCCTCCTCCTCCTCCTCCTCCTCCTCCTCCTCCTCCTCCTCCCTCCTCGTCCATCGTCATCATTCTCCCCCTCCTCGTCCTCCTCCTCCTCCTCCTCGTCCTCATCGTCCTCCTCGTCTTCTTCCTCCTCCTCGTCCTCCTCGTCCTCCTCCTCATCCTCCTCCTTCTCCTCCTTCTCGTCCTCCTTCTCCTCGTCATCATCATCATCATCATCTCCCCTCCTCGTCCTCCTCCTCCTCGTCCTCCTCCTCGTCCTCGTCGTCCTCGTCGTCCTCGTTGTCCTTGTTGTCCTCCTCCTCCTGCTCCTCCTCCTCCTTCTCCTCCCTCCCCGCAGGTGCCGCCCTCTTTTGGTCGGACCGCCGCGCCTCGGGCCCCGAGGGCCCCGCCGCCGCCGAGAGAGGCCGGTGGGCGGCCGCCGCGCGCGCGGGCGCCCGGGGGGGAGACCATTGATTCGGGGAGGGGCCGAGAGGAGGAGGAGGAGGAGGAGGAGGAGGAGGAGGAGGAGGAGGAGGAGGAGGAGGAGTAGGAGGAGGAGGAGGAGGAGGAGGAGGAGGAGGAGGAGGAGAGGAGGAGGAGGAGACCGAGAGGAGGAGAGAAGGGAGGGGAGGAGGAGGAGAGGAGGAGGACGAGAAGGAGGAGGAGGAGGACCGAGAGGAGGAGAGGAGAGAGGAGGAGGAGGAGGAGGAGGAGGAGGAGGAGGAGGAGGAGGAGGAGGAGGAGCTGCTTTGCTTCTCCTCGTCCTCCTCGTCGTCCTCCTCCTTCGCCTCCTCTTCCTCCTCCTCCTCCTTCTCGTCCTCCCTCCTCATCCTCCTCCTCCTCCTCATCCTGCTGCTGCTGCTGCTGCTGCTGCTGCTGCTATTGCTGCTGCCGCCGCCGCCGCCGTTTTACTTCCCCCGCCTTCCGCCCGCCTCCCGTTGCGGAAGAGATGGCAACTCCTCTGGTCCTGAAGGCAAGGCCCCCGGGATGGAGCTGACTGCTGGCTCCACTCCTTCTCGGGATTGCGTGCTGCCTGGAGTCACTCGAGGTGCAAACAACACCACACGGGCACCTGACGCGATTCCCCCAACTCGCCATCGCTCGGACGTCTATTCCCCGTGCATGCTCCGGCTTCGTGCGTTTTTCTTCGCGACGTGATCCCAGATGTCCCCCGATCCTCGCCGAGACCAAACGCACGCGCCCTGGCGGTGCCAAGCCGAATCGCAGTGCGCGAACACCAAGAGCAGGACCACAGAGGCACGCGAGGGCCACAGGGGGGGTGTTCGGGCGGCGGGCGTCCTGTCCCCAGGGCCTCGAGGGGTAGGGTCGGGCCCAGCGGGGCTGAGCGGGGGGGTGGTGCTCTGCTCGGGCGGCTCGGGGGGGGGGGGGGGGCGGGCGGCGCCCCCTCCCGAGGGCCTCGAGGGAGCGGGGCGGGGGGGTTGATGATGCAACGCGGGGCTTGGGACATCCGTGCTCCACTCCACTGCTGACACGCATGCAACTCTTATTACTAAAAGAAGCAACGTACAACAACAAAAAAGGAAAGAGGTGCCAACCCATCCATCTAGCTGCCGATGAGCCAGTTGTTCAAGGCCGAACGTGCGGCCTCCCACGCCTCCTGTCGCCTACCCTCCTCGTCTGGGGGGGAGGCCGGGGCGAAGCATGATGGGGTGGGCACCTGGATTCTGCGACGAGCCGCCCTTCTCTCTCTGGCGAGAGCGCGGTGGGCCGCTATGCGGTCACGCTGCTGCGAAGTGAGCACGAGAGGGGCGGGAGGAGGCGGCGAAGGCGACGGGGGGGGAGGCGGAGGAAGGAGAAGCCACTCCGCAGCTTGCTCCTCTGGGGAGCCATGCACAAGATCTGCGTACTGCTGCTCTGCCAAAGCCTCCTCATCCTCGCCATGCGAGGGAGGCACGAAATCCTGCTGAGATTTGTCCTCAGCTCCATCTTCTTCATTGTCAGAATCCTCGAACCTGTGAATTTCAGGATCTACTCTACTAGTACCCTTGTGCGAGAAACCTGCAAAGTCGGGAGCAGGGCTCTCCTGCGGTGGGCTAGAAATCTGAAACGTGGCGTAGAATACAGCAAGCGATTCACGGATATCATCATCATCCTCGGGATAGTCCAGGTCTTCGCGGGGCGGGGTGGAGGACTCAGCCGAGGAAAGGAGAGACCTGGCACTATCCACGATGGCCGAGGCGATCGCCTGGCACATCTGAGGCGGGTAAGTCTTCTTAGAAGCCGTGTAAAAAGATCCCGAGGCCCTTTTCCCTAGAAGGGTCTGGTGGGAGCCTCTCGGGTGAGAACATCTACCGCCTCCTGGAGTGGCCCTAAGGAGCCTATCCATAGTGGGCATGCGAACGGAAAGAATAGTAGTAGGAGCACGGCCTATTTGCCCAGGGTCCACCTCGGGACCTTGGTGCTCGCATTGATCAAATGAAGTGACCGCGGCACTTGGGGCCGCGGCCAGGGCCTCTAGAGGCCGCCAACGGAACGCAGACGGGGCCCTTGGGGCCCACGTGGGGTTGGCGGGATGCTCCATCCAACCCCCCGTGCCTGCCCTCAGATGCTCCGCCAAGAGCCAGACCATTGCGTGCAACAACTGAGACCCAATACGAAGCTGCTCGGACTGACGCTGAGACACCCAAGGTAATCCCCACATATACTGAGTAGACCTGAGAGGGGGGGGCCTCCCTCGTGCCACCGGGCAGCTGACCAGGTTTCACAAGGAGGCCCCCCCCCCAGTGTTGATGACCCTGTGACAGCGTATGTGCTCCACCCATTCAAGAATCGTAGCCTCCTTCGTCAAGTCCCCCCTGTCAGCGTCAATGGCAATGTCAACGCTGAGAATCACTAAGTGAAGGTCGGACGTAAGCGTCTCATGCTCGAGCTGCCACTGGACGTCGCCTCTGCGACGTTGCCCGCAGTAGAGATGTAGAACGTACGCCGTAGGTCGACGAATGCGAATAGGGACAGCAGAAGCCAGAAACTCGGGATATTCACCAGGGTTATAGACATAGAAAGGAGTCTCAGGGACCACGGGGATCACCGAGGGAACATCCGAACAAATAGTAGTATACTGCTGGATGAGGTCATCGGGGATGGCGGGGTCAGCCTCCAGGAGAAGCTGTAGGGCATCATGGTGCGAAAGATGTGAGGTGAGGGCCACAACCTCGGGGTCACGGGAGAAGGCGGGGAGTCGTGTAGCAGGGACGTCGATACGCCACCTCCCCTGTCCACAAGCCCGTTGATTTCGCATTCGTACGTCCTCCTGCTGCTGAAGTGCGGTGGCTTCTGCTACCGTGCACTGCGGAGCAGACACGATGAGGCCAACTGCACATGGTAATGAGTCGAATGCAAGGTGCGCCGTGAGAGCAGACCGATGCGCAAAAGACTGAAAGCATGTACAGCAGGAGAGAGACGAACCCTGACAGTTACGAATGAACGATACGCGTGAATGATGTACGCGCTGAATGTGCGTTCGAAGCCCTCTGATGCGAGAAAATGAACGCGAGCACCACATACACGTGAACACATTGGCGTCCTCTCTCTCCTGCTGGCGTAGGCGATGCCGTGGGTCGTCCCATGCCGGTGGGACCCCTGCTGATTCGAGTATCTGGAATATCTGGTCTTCGGCAGCCCGAGCAAGAGTGTCTCGCTGGATATGCCGAACGTGAGAAGCCAACGCCTGCGTAATTGTCTGCTTCCACCCCACTGCTGACTTCTTGGCCTCCATCTCCCAAGACTGTAGGTTCTCGAGAGGGTCGGGGAACTCCTGGAACCTACGAGTGTACAAACGCAGCCATCCAAGATCACCCAGAATCATATGTCCCCAGGTCCTGGAAGTCTCAACCATAGCGGCGTGAACTAAAGCCATAATGTGGGGCGGGCCCGAAAGCAAGAGGCGGCCAAAAAGGCGAAGCCTGTGGGCAGACAGCAATGCTTCGAGCGGCGGGCGGCCCACTCGCGCAAGAACATACTTAGACGGCATGGCTGTATCATCCGCTCGGGGAAGTCTGGCAATAGCGCGGTAATAACGGAGGAGACCGTCCTGTAAATGATTATGCTGTGCCTGGGTAAGAAAGCCCCAAGTGCTGGATTGAAATAATCTCCCAGAGCAAACCAGAGAATCCAAGAAAACCAATGCAGTCTGCATCTCGATGGTTTTGTGCTTAAAGACCTTGCCTCTGAGAACCCTCCAGGCCTGCGAACATCCCGAAAGACGGTGAGCCAGTTCTGGCCCCATAGACGCTGACATATCATGCTTAGTACCAAGATGAACAAACTCTTGAACCCGATGAAGACACATGGGCCCCAAACTATGGGGGAGAGAGGAGGGGCGCGGAGAGAGGGGCGAGGAGGACGAGGCCGGGGGGGGGGGCGACGAAGAGGGGGGGGGGAGGACGAGGACTGGGGGGGGGGGCGACGAAGAGGGGGGGGGGAGCAGACGTGCTCAGTGGCTGGGGGCTGGCGCGAGGCTGGAAGGCACCGGGAATCGCTTCGACCCGTCGAGAGGCAGGCCGCTCTGCAGTTTGCCTCGACAGGCTCAGGGAACTCCTGGGCCAGAACGGAGGAGGAGGAGGAGGAGGAGGAGGAGGAGGAGGAGGAGGAGAATAGGAGAATACAGAAAATGATCATAAGGAAGGGGGAACCAGGGAAAGCTCCTCCCCACTCTTCTCCTCTTCCTGTCCCTCATCCACCCCCGTTCCTTCCCTTCTTCCTCTCTCGGGGAGGAGCAACTGGAGAGCAAAGAAGAAGCACTCACGTGGAGGAGGAGGGTAGCATCAGGGAGAGGGAGAGAAAGGCGGGAGACACGAGAAAAAGCCAGGAGGCAGCAGAAGACCAGGCTGCCAGGTCCACGAACGGGCCGCCAGCTGGCAATGCTTCGGGGTTCAAATGGGATCTGCCGTTATGGGGACACCCTCTGCTCGGGGAAACCCCAACTCGATGCCTGCTCCTGGGGTGTGGTAGCCCAGGCAGGAGGGAGGCGGGAGGAGTAAGTAGGGATGAGGAAGGAGGGATGGGAAAGGGGGAAACAGAGGAGGAGGAGGAGGAGGAGGAGGAGGAGGAGGCGGCGGCGGAGAGTGCGACGGAGGGTGGCTGGGACAACAGGGTGCGACGAGGGGGAGAGAAGGACAGGCTCAGGAGAGGCGACAGAGGGAGGACGACCGCGGATGAATCGCGACCAACTTGCCCCGGAGATCGCTCAAGAGCCATGGCGCCAGGCACGCTCACGACAGAGACGCGAGGCACGCACCGCCCGCCCAGCCGCGCGCGCACTCGGTCGGGCGTGCTCACCGCACCCGGCGAAGAGACAGCTCCTGGAAGCCCGCCCTCATCTCCGGCTGCGGCTGCGACTGCGTCTTCGATCCTCGCCAGGCACGGGCCAATCGGGGATGGACAGACCCCCTTTAGTAAAACGTGGTTTAGTGAAAACGACCTGAGGCCCAAACCTGGCGGGCGCAAGCCTGGAAAATAACGGCCACGGCGCCCTCTCGAGAACCGAAAACGGACAATTCACTAATCGACGTGTCACTGTTGGGGGTTCTGTCCACCCCCGAGCCAAGACAAGAGGATCGGGGGATCCCCGTGGCGCTCTGCCGCGCGGCGCGCCAGGGTGCCCGGGCCGGGGAGCACGCACCCGCGAAGCGCGAGGCCGATGCCGCCCGACCTCGCGACGGCGCGCGCCGGCTCGGTCTCGGAACGGGGGCCCGTCACCACAGAAGGGGCCCTGGGACACACGAATAAATACACACAGATGACAGGATTCCCTATATCTTCCTATATTTTCTGGGTTGTTGTGTCCCCCCCCACTTCCCATACTTTCCCATATTCTCTGGGGAATCGACGATTCATTGTGTCTGTGTGTTTTTTCCCCCCCGGAACTACAGTCGGACCTTAGGACGGAAAAACATCCTTCAAGAACAGGAGACCCTCCGCCGGCCAGAACTGCAGGACATTTGAGGGTGCCCTCCCCCAGGAAGCACGAGAACATCCTACGAGCACGAGGAAAACCGGGGTACCTTCCCCGAAGCAACATCGATCCTGTACCTCGGTCCGACTGTGATGCACGCGCCCGAATCCACGCTTGCCTCCTCGACTGCGGGAGCCCGTCGCCGTTCACACGAGATCCCCTTCGGCCTCACAAAAATGCGAAGCATCAGGTCGGGCATGTCCCCCTACAGGCGGATTCTGGACAACATGCGAAAAACAGTCAAAAAATATACCTCAAAATGCCCCCCCCCCCCCACACAAAAAGTCAAACATCGTCCGCAGACCATCTTTTTACTATTCTTTGACTACCCCCCTGTAGAAGGGAGACGCCCGACTTAAGCGAGGCATCGCCGAGCGCCAGCCTCTCGACCAGCACCGCCGGCGTGCCTGGCCCCGCCGCTCTCCGGGTCGGCGCGGCGCGCAGGCTCCACGCTGCGGGGCGCCGCGCTCCGCGCTGGACGGATATCGGGCCGCAGCGCCACGCAGAGGGGGGAGCAGGAGAGAGCGACTCGGCGGCGAGCCCGGGGGGGGGCGCAGGAAGAAGGGGCGGGCCTCCTCAGACGACTCGGGGGCCTCCAGGGCTTCTGAAGAGCGCTCGGGAGGCCCTCCCCGACGAGGCAGAGCACTTCTCAGAGGGCCGGGGGTTCTGGAAAGCCCCGCCGCCTTCTGAGGCGGTCTTCTCCCTCCTGCCTCCGCCCCTCGCTCGCCGCCGAATGATGGCTGCGGCGCAGCAGCAGAGCCTCACAGCGCGCCTCTCGACGTCCGCAAGCGGAAAGAGAGGGGGGCCAGCGGAAACATCGCGCCATCGAGGGACCACTACATGGTGTTCCGTCGGGGCGGCCTCCCTCCTCCTCCTCATCCCTCCTCCCTCTTGAGCCCCCAGGGCCCCCAAAACAGCCCCAAGAGACCTCAAGAGGCTTCAACACTGCCTCCAAGAGACTCCCGAAACGCCTGCCAAAAAAAAACCACCAACGCCGCATTGACAACAATCCCTCGGGCAAACAGCAGAGATGAGGCTACATGGGCCGGCGGAATGAGCGAAGCGATCAAGTAAGAAGAAGACTAATAGTAATACGAATCATAATAATACTTAACATAATATTTATGCTAATAACAATGATTTTAGTAATACTAATAATGATAAGAATTAGATTAATAATAATACTAGTAATAATAATAATAATAATAATGAACCCCTCTTGTAGCACATCGTCTCCTGAGCGGTGTGGCCAGAAAGCGTACGACAAGATTTCTCAGTGCGCGAGTCGCCCCTGGGGGGAGGAGAACACATAGTATGAGTATGTTGGGGGGACGCAGATCGGCGCCTGCGGCGGCGCCTGAGGCAACTCAAGCGCCCACGCACTCTTGTCCGCAATGGCGCCCCCGAGCGGTGGCCGCGGCGAACGGGCCATGGGGGGGGGGCGCAAGAGAACCAGCGAGGGGACACCACCGCCACCACGACTCGGAGGACCAGGGGTGAGAAGCGAGGACTGCCAGGCTGTAGGAGCAGGAGGCTTCCAAGGGAACGGGGTCCCGACTCCCTCCTCTCGGACATGTTGTGGCTTGGCTCGGGCAAAGAACCTGGTGACCCTGGTCTACAGAGACCCCCGGTAAATCATCCCATCCCTTCCCCGTGGCACCCGTTACGAGGATGACTCGGGCGGGCCCCGGTCAGTCGTCCTGGCTTTTCCAGGGCGGCTTTCCGTGAGCCGGCACACGGAACGAAACTCCAGGAATGACATATCTCCCAAATTCATGAAAATGATGACAGTCGCATGGATTGGGGTCCCAGGAGTGGTATCACACTATCAACTTCGCGCGCGCACGCCTGCACTGTCGACGCCTTGCAGACAGAACGCAAACATACTAATGCGAGCACCAGTCAAGGCGGGACGAGGCCTGAGTCAAAAGAGCCATGTGCGCAACGTCGCCTCCGCACAACAGCGACTGCGCACAGCAAAGATGCACAACGCATGTCCGCACCACGTGCGCAGCGGCGCTCGTGCACAACGTCGCCTCTGCACAACAGCGACTGCGCACAGCAGAGATGCACAGCGCATGTGCGCACCACGTGCGCAGCGGCGCTCGTGCACCACGCGGCGCCTGCGAAGACTGCGGCAACCAGGGGCCCCGCAGCCCGCGTGTGCACCACAGAGCCCGCGTGCACCACAGCGCCTGCGCACACCACGACGCATGCGCACCGCCGGGCCTCTGTGTACCATCAGCTGCTGTTGCAACGGGGACAGCTTGCCCAACAACACCTCAATGCCTAGGTGCACCACAACGCGTGTGAAATCTTCGGGAGCCTCCGGGCCACGTCGGTCGGCGTCGTCCTCCTCTCCCGCATCATGCTCCTCCTCGCGTCCTCATCCCTCTCTTCCTCTTCCTCCTCCTCCTCTTCCTTCTCCTCTTCCTCCTCCTCATACTCATAATAAGGATCATCGTCATCATCATCAGCATCAGCATCAGCATCAGAAACAGCATCATCAGCATCATCAGCATCAGCATCATCTTCATCACCACCATCACCATCACAATCATCATGATCATAATTGATCATCATGGTCATCATCATCGTCAGCATCATCAGCATCATCATCATCATCATTATCATCATCATCACAATCTCAATCATCATGATCATCATCAGCATCAGCATAAGCATCATCGTCATCATCATCATCATGATCATGATCAGCATCATAATCAGCACCATCATCATCATCGTCATCATCATCAGCAGCATCAGCAGCATCAGCATCAGCATCAGCATCAGCATCACCATCAGCATCAGCATCAGCGTCAGCATCATCATCATCATCACCACCACTTCTCCTCCCCCATCCTTTTCCCCCTCCTCCTTCACACCACCCCCTACTTGCCAAGATCCGCTGCTTTTCGTTGCCGCCCACGGATCTGCGCAGTGCTGAAGGATTGGCTGGCTCCAAAAAGTGCCCAGGTCATTGTGCTTGGCGATGCCTCCAGGGTGGCGCCCATGGACACTATGGTGTACCAGGTCACAGTCTTAGGCCCCCCAAATTGGCGAGGGTTCTTCGCCGCTTCGCTTTTGGCTATTCGGGCAGCTAGCTGATTTCGAAGAGACTACATGTAATATCAAAGCCTTTCGAGAGGCCAGTGCCGATCTAAGGCAAGCTGCGGTGTTCGATCGAACATCTGCCTGCCAGACCTTGCTCCACGAGCGGGGGCGCGCCACTCGCGTCTAGTTTGATGGCAACTTGCGCTCCCAGCCGGCGGGTGGGGACTTCAAGATGCTGTCGCGCAAGTCGATTCCGAATACTCAGCGCATGACGCCATCGACGATTGACTGCCCGACGCCGCCTGGCGCGTCTACGCAATTCTTCGCTCCTGGCGTTATCGCACAAGTTCTGAGTTGCTCGGATTATTCAAATCGCCGTCCTCGCCTTTCTTGGGTATTGCACAGAACACCGGCCATAGCCCACACTTCGTTTGCCGCCCTGTTTCCACCAGCCGCCGTTTTAGCTGGGTCAGCCTCGCCGATGCGCTGATTCACTTTGCATTGGCTCCTCGAGCTGTCCGAAGAACATCGCCAGGCTGGGGGTGATTCACAAAAGTCTGTCTCGTCGTCGTCGTCGTCGTCGTCCTGCGCTATGCCTCTTTCTCCTTCCCTTTTCTCCTCCCTCCTGGCCAGTGCGCGTGGATCGCAGGGTGCGCGCCTCGCGCGGTGCCGCCGACGGGGCGTGGCCCTCCCCACTCGCCCTCTCTTCCTCTCTCTCTCCTTGTCGTCCGCGTCGTCTGCTGCTGTCTGCCCTCCTTCCCCCTCCTCCCTCGTCATTTTCCTGCCCTTCTTCTTCCTTCCATCCGTCCTCTTCGCGCTTCGCCCTCGCTTCATGTTCGACGGTCTTCTGGACACCGCCTTTTCGCTTTGTGCCGGACGGTTTCTGGGCCGGCCAGAAGCTGGGTAACATCATTGTCTATATGTGTGTGTTCGGGTATTCTCCTTTGACCTTTTTTTTCGGGCATCCTTTGTCCTACACAGGGTCGTTGGCTGCCCGGGACCCTCTTCGCCTTGTGTTCCCCTTCCTCGTGGTCAGCCCCTTCACCGCCTCCATGCCCCATGCTCAGGGGGCATGAGCGTGTGTTATCCCAAGCCCAGATAGCAGCGCACGCAGCTTGCGTGAACGGCACCGGAAAAACCGCCTGGAGCTGGGCACGATCCGCGGACACACGTCTGGAGACCCCCAGCGCGACCAGGAAGCGACAGGATCTGCCTATGCGCGCCCCCAGAAGCCTGGGAAACGCTGCGCAGGAACTGCCCAGGAGGCCAGGCGCCGCGCAAAAGCCCAGGAGGCGAAGCCCTGAAGCTCCGCCAGCGCTGCCCCCACAGACCTTGGGAAGTCTGCCTTAGGAGCTGCCTGGGCGCGCTCCAGAAGCGCTGCCCAAGCGCGGCCTGGCACCTGCACGCGAGCGCACGAGACGCTCCGTGGGAAATGCACCAACGCGTGCGACCCACGCGCCGGGAATGATCAGGACAGCGGTCGCGGGACACGCAGCTGGCTCGAGCAAGCCGCCGCGACGCTCATTGGCCGGCAGCCGTGGAGAGGAGGCTGGCCTACCTTAGCCTGCCGGTTGTTTCCCGAAGCCCCTGACATCGCTCGCTGTGGGAGCTGTCCGGGAATTCTCAGCTCGACTCTCTCTCTCTCTCTCTCTCTCTTTTCTGTCTCTCCCTCGCACCGTTCGTTTGCGACCCACGAAACTTGGGAAGCGCTGCCTAGGAGCTGCCTTGGGCCTGTGCACGAACGCACGGAACGCTGCGAAGAAGCAACGCAAACGCTTGCCGGGCCGCCGCGACGCTCACTGGCTGGCGCCTGTGGGGAGGAAACTGGCCCAGCTCAGCCTACTGGCTTCTTCTCCTGAACCTGCTCGCCTTCTCATTGAGCTTTCCGGGGCTCTTTTGCCCGACTCGGTTTTCCCTTCCCTCCCTCACGTTGTTTGTGTGTGTGTGACCCACGGGCCTAGGAGCCACGTCTTCGGAATGAGCAGGAAACCGTGTGCGGGACACGCTACAAGTTCCAGCAAATCGTTGTGGCGATCCGTGTCCAGCGGCTGCGGGGAGGAAGCTGGCCTAGTTCAGCCCAACGCTTATGATCTAAAGCATTCACAACTTGTCTGTCCGACTCTCTGTTTTTACTTTCCCCCCCACACGTTGTTTGTTTGTGTCCACGATCCTGGGAAATGCTGCCTAGGAGATGCCTAGGCGCTGACCACGAGCCGTGGAAGAGCTGCCTTGGCGCTGCCTAGGTCCTGCACGCGAGTGCAGGAAACGCTGCGAAGCAACTGCGCGAACGCTTGCGACCCACGCGTGAGGAATGCATAGGACAACGCTGGCAGGATACGTTGCTGACTCGAGCAAGCCACCGCGACGATCACTGGCTGGCAACCGTGGAGAGGAAACTGCTATCCTAGCCTGCCGGCTTCTTGTAAGAAGCCCTGATACCTCATGCGTCATTCTCGCAACGGCCGCAGGCGCCGCTTCCGGGCCGTCCGCGGGCGCAAGCTCTGCAGGGCCAGAAGACGCCGCCGCCGAAACGGACGCGGGCGTCGGCAACGGTGCCAACGTCGAAGGGCCTCCCCATCCTCATCAAACTGCCCCCCTGCCTCATCCTACTCCATCCTGTCCCTCCCAAAACTATTATCCTCCTCCTCCTCCTCCTCCTCCTCCTACTCCTCCTGTTTCTCCTCCTCCGCCTCTGCTCTTTCTCCTCCACGCTTTTCCACCCGATCGCTCACTCGCTCGCTTGCTAATGGTACGTGATGCGCCGAAATGGCAATACCATTCCCGATGGAGGATGCGGTCCGCGTGGAGACGACAGCACAGTTCTCAACTATGAGAAGGACCAGCGCTGAGGCTGAAGCACCGTTCTCACTTAGGGACATGGCCGGAGCTGAAATGAAAACACTGCTCCCAAAGAAGAACGTGGCCGTCACTGAAGCGAGAACAGAATCCGTAAATGTCAGAGGTTCCCAACCATCTGCGACAGGTTCCCTGCCTCAGGCGACACTGGCCGGACCACCTCAGGTCAGGGCACCTCCGAGCCGAGATCTGGGAGGGCGTCTCCAACGAAACTGGCCAGACCATCCTGAACGTCTGAAGCAATCTCGGTGCGGCCGTCCCTCGGCCGTCACAACTAGCAGCATCTGACACAAATGGACCCGCGGAGTGGGCGCAAAGAAGGCTGACACTGCCACGCTCTGAGAAATTCCTGAAGATTTGGTGAGGGCAAGTCTGCACTCGATGAGAATATTTGCTCTTGCAGTGGCGCCAGCGCTGGGAAAGCCGGGACGACTTAACAGGAGTCTGAAGGGGCCCTGGGACACACAAACAAGTGGCACGCGTGCCATGGCTCTTGCACAGAAGGGAGGGGGAAGGAGGAGGAGGAGGAGGAGCATGAGGAGGAGGAGGAGGAGGAGGAGGAGGAGGAGGAGGAGGAGGAGGAGGAGGAGGAGGGGGAGGAGGAGGAGGAGGAGGAGAGAGGAGGAGGAGAGAGGGGACGAGAAATCGGAGAAGGGTCGGGGGGGGCGGGACGGCGGTGGCGGTGCGACGCCGAAATAAAATGGTCGGGGCGGAAGGGAGGGGTGCACTGGGCGGGCGGGGATGGTAAGGGTCGTGGGGGCGGAACGGTGGGGGGCCGTGCGACGCCGAAGTAAACTGGTCGGGGCGGAAGGGGGGCGGGGCAGAAGCTGCACTGGACGGGGGGCGGTGCGACACCGAAATAAAGTGGTCGAGGCGGAGAGGGTCACGGTGGTGGTGGTGGTGGTGATTGGTGTGGGTGGATGGGTGGCGAGGGCGGGAGGGGCGCGGCGGTGGTGGCGGTGCGACGCCGAAAGCACGCGGTCGGGGCGGAGGGGGGCGGGGTGCAGAAGGCACTGGGCGACTTTGGATGGGGGGAGGGGTCGGCGGGGCGGGGCGGTGGGGGCGGTGCGACGCCGAAATAAAGTGGTCGGGGCGGAGGGGGGCGGGGTGGGGAGGGCACTGGACGGGGGGCGGTGTCGCGCTGGTGGTGGTGGTGGTTGGTGCGTAAAGTGGTCGGGGCGGAGGGGGGCGGGGTGGGCAGGGCTCTGGACGGGGGGCGCGTCACGCTGGTGGTGGTGGTGGTTGGCGTATAAAGTGGTCGGGGCGGAGGGGGGGGCTTGGTGGAGAGAGCTCTGGACGGGGAGCGGTGTCACGGTGGTGGTGGTGGTTGGTGTGGGTGGGTGGGTGGAGTGGCGGGGGGGCGGTGTGAAGGGGGCGGTGCGACGCCGAAAAAAAGTGGTCGGAGCTCTAGACGCCCTGTGCAAGAGAATAAATCGACAAATCCCAGAATTCCCCATAGTTTCTTATATTTTCTGGATTTTCGTCATCCCCCCCACTCCCTATAGTTTCCAATATTTTCCGGGGAGTCGACGATTAATTGTGTCTGTGTGCTTTCCCTTCCTGCGAGTCTCTGTGCGGGGGGGGGCGCGCACCTGGGCAGGCACTCCGAAGCGGCGAGGCGCCAGCTGCCCAAACGCCTCCCCGCCCCCCTCCCCGCCTCCTTCACAAGTGCACAATATGAATACTATTCTCCTCCCTCCCCAGTGTCTGTCCGGAAGATGTTCGGCCCCCCTCCGCGTACTGATTTTTACACACAGGATCCCCTCCCTCCCCGCCTCCTTCCCTCTTTCACTCCCTCCTCTGCCCTCCTCCTCCGTCCTCCCTGCCTCCCTGCCTCCCTCCCTCCTCTGCCACCCCCTCCCTTCTGACTCGGGGATCCAGTGACCTGGGTCAAGCCAAACCCAGGTCAGTCGGGCCCTGCAGGATCCTGCACGCTACTCCCAGGTTATGCACCCCTGACTCCGCAGGATCCTGCAACATCTGCCGCTCTGGCTGACCCCCGATTGCGCTGACCCCCGTCTCTACAGGCCTCCTAGATGAGGTCGGAGTAGATGGGTCGGAGGATCGCGCCGCTTCGCCGATACATCGGCGATGCATCGGCGGTGCATCGGCGATGCACTGGCGATGCATCGTCGACGTCGGCGATGCATCGGCGACGCCGACGTGGAGCAAATCGGGCCGCACATCGGGCCGCATCGGCGGTGCATCGGCGATGCGGCGCGGTCCTCCGACCCCCGTCCACCCCGACCACATCTGGGAGGCCTAAAGAGCACGGAGGCGGCGACGGCGACGGCGAGGGGAGGACGGCGACGGTGACGGTGACGGTGACGAGTGACGGTGACGGTGACGGTGGCGACCACATCTAGGAGGACGGCGACGGTGACGGTGACGAGCTGGGCGGGGCCCGCGTCGCCCACGGCTGCTGCGGACGGTTCGCGCCCCGCGGCCGGTGCAGAGCGCGCCCCGCGGGCCGCCGGGAGCGGGCGCTCGCTCAGGAGCTTTCTGGGGCTGGTCGTCGCCGTCGCTGTGGCCGTCGTCGTCGTCGCCGTCGTCGTCGTCGTCGTCGCCGTCGCCGTCGCCGTCGCCGTCGCCGTCGCCGTCGCGTCGACGTCGCCGTTGCCATCGCGGTCGCCCCCCCCCCCCCTGGCCGCAGAGGGGCGGGAAAAGGCGTCCTTGTCCCGCCTGTCCTTGTCCTTGTCCTTGTCCTCGTCCCGCCGCCGGGGGCTTCTCCGCTCCCGCTCGCCCCGGTCCCGGTTGTCCCGGCTGCGGCTCCGCCGCCGCTGCTCCTGACCCGCGGGCGCGGACGCGACAGAGCGCGTCGTCGTCGTCGTGAAGGTCCTCATCGTCGTCCTCAAGGTCGCCGTCGTCGTCGTGAAGGTCGTCGTCGTTGTCGTCGTCGTGTAGGTCGTCGTCGTCGTCGTCGTCGTCGTCGTCGTCGTCGTCGTCGTCGTTAAGGTCGTTAAGGTCGTTAAGGTCGTTGTCGTCGTCATCGTCGTCGTCGTCGAGGTCGTCGCCGCCGCCGCCGCCATCGTCGACGACGACGACGACGACGACGACAGGGACCCCTCGTGCGTGGGACTGTGGCGATGGCGATCACGTTGGCCAGGACGAGGACGCGGAGGGGCACGCGGAGGAAATAGAGGACGATCGCCATCTTCTCCGTATCCTCCTCCTCCAACTCGTAGTCTGCCGTCGTCCTCATCGCCCTTCCCGTGCCTCCCCCTCAGCCTCCTCCATCCTTCCCCCCACCACCTCATCCGCATCCTCTCTGCTCCCTTAACTCCCCCTCCCCCTCCTCCTCCTCCTCATCCTCCTCCTCCTCCTCCTCCTCCTCCTCCTGCTCCTCCCCCTCCTCCTTCTCCACTTTCTCCTCCTCCGCCTCCTCCTCCCTCCATCCCCCCCTCCTCCCTATTCCCTCACCCTCTTCCATCCCCGCATCTCCTCATTCCACCCAGGAGGGAGAATGAGAAGTCGGAGACGCAGGAAAGGAGGAGGAGGAGGCGCAGAAAGGACAGCGGAGGAGGAGGAGGACGACGACGACGCCGACGCCGACGCCGACGCCGACGACAACAACGACGAGGACGAGCATGCCCGAGGGGTAACGGCGACCCAAGCCCCGCGATCCCGCTCGCCGCCCCTGTCGTCGCGGGCGCTGTCCCGGGCGGCGGGGTTCTCCCTGGGGGGCGGCCTGTTGGGCCTCCGGCGGACACGGGCGCGGCCCCCCGGGCGAGGAGGAGCGAGAGGACGAGCGACCACCGCTGCGGACGAGCGTCTGGGCCTAGCTCGGACCATGTGGACGCGACCGTGGCCTCTTGAGTCTGGCGTGTCTGGACACACGCAATGCGAGGCTGATCAAAGAAGATAGGAGAGGACGAGGAGGGGGCGGAGGGGGAGGAGGAAGTCTTTGGTGTCGGTGTAGGCGCGTGTGTCGTCTCGAAATGTGTCATTTGTCTTCGATGCCGGAGGCGGGGGGAGGCAGGAGGTGAGCGGTACGTACAGTTCAGCTGCTCACCACAAGGAGCACTACATGAGGAGCGAATTCCACTTTGGGCCCGAAAGGCGCCTAATAAAGCAACCATGGAAAGACCTAAGGAACAGCGAGCCGCTTCCGAACCCGAGCCTGTTCCTTATCTCAACGTCTTGACTGGAGGCGGTGGGAGGTAGGAACTGGTGGAAGTCTACTGACCTCTCACAGATCCTGACCTGGCTCATGTTGGGCCTGGCATCGGTGCACAGGGGGCAAGGCGAATGACCCCAAGATGGCCCCCAATGTCTCAAACATGGAGCCCAAAGGGCCACGAAAGCTCGAACAATTGCCCCAGACAGTTGCCTCGAAAGCTCGGCATCCTCGTTATCCTCCTCCCACACTTAAGTCGTACTTGATGGCTTATCTACGCAAATCCATTGTCCAGCTCGCGCGTATGATGGCTCGTTTCACTCGCCTTGTCGTCCACCACATCGATGGTTCATCAAATTTCGCGTCCAGCTGTCAAAGCTGCCACCCCTAACCTTCCCAAAAGGCTGCTGCGTCATGCGCGGACGAACCAAGGACTAGTTGGTAGTTTGTGCACTAGTCAGATGGAACTACCACCCTCGCAGCTGGATCATACATGTATCATTGACCTTGGGTTAGTGAGGTGGAGGTGAGTGGATCCGTTACAGACAATGGACTAACTAAACTCATTTAGACGAAAACGATGCTTGTGCAGCCGAGGGAGGGGTGACGCCGTGGGAGGCGCGGATCATGAGCAACTCATTGGTTATCATCAATCGCCAGCTCGAACAACACATTAACGCTTCTTGCCATCAGAGTGAAATGCCGCTTTGAAGGGTCCATCATGTCAGTGCCAAGGGACAGCGCGCCTTGCATCTCGTGGCGGTTCGCACTTTACCACGATCATCGCCAGACAGATCCAGATGCACACCCTTTGGGAGATAGCGTTTCTGACAACTTAGTGTTAGAGTATCAAATATTAATACTAACCTTACATTTGCGCTGGCACTCGCCGACTACATCGCACAATCGGGACACCGTCCTCAAAACGTCGGGACACAAACGGCTCCCCAGAACCCAGAAACAAACGAAATCAACACACAATCGGAACATATCAACGGGACACCATAAACAAAACATCAACAGACCGTCGAAATACAAACCATCGGGACACCATCAAGAAACCATCAATGGCTGACCATCTCGGTCTGAAAAGATTATGACTGTCACTCGTGCACGGCTGTGCACGCACGGTACCAGAAACATGGCGTCTACGATGTCGCAGCGGAGGTGGTCTCACAACCAGAACGTTGCAGCGGCTGCTTAGGAATTTCGGCACCATCAAATCGCGGAGCGAACGCATGAGACCCTTCTATCCCTGTTGGCTGCTCATTCTGGGGACCTTCCTGGAGCCACTCGCTCCACGTGCGCGTCGAAGCTGCGTCGAACGTCCGTCGATTCGAGTCGGCCTTGAGTCGAACCCGAGTCGAACCTGAGTCGAATTTGAATCGATCTTGAGGCAAACTGGACACCTTGGGCCAGGGACACTTCTAGCAACACCTGAATGAGATCCTTCCATCCCTGTCTGCGCAATGCCAAAAACAACGGCGCCTCTCCGGAGGGTCTTGCAGCTTCTCCCCATCAATGAGTGGCCTGCGTTCGGGCGAGTTGCTGCAAGAGGCAAGGCACCATGAGCATGCACCCGACCCGCACCGACGCGGCACTCGCAATACGCACTATTGCGTCAAGCAGTGTATGCATCACATTGCGACATGCGTTGCTAATCCATACTTGCCCATGACTGTATATGCAAGCTCCAGCCTCAGTCCGCTGACCCGTTCTACGCTGCTGGAAGTAGTCCGATGCCGAATGTGAGAATATGGCAACCATCGGCGATCGGGGATTTTATAGAAACGAGCATCACAAATCACAGCATGGCAGACGCACTGATCAGCCCTTGACTCCTGCACTGTCTCGAAAGTTGCCCTGACATGACGCTATGACACAATGATGAGGTCCAGCGTACAAACAGAGCACAAACGTACGAACACTAACAAGGCCTGGCGATTTTGCACAGCATCGACGACGGGTAAGAGGACGTGTCCAGGTGCTTTTTGATCTGCGCCAAGACCTGAAGGGCAAAGAAGCTCGCAGATGGGACGGATATAACGGAGAAGCACAAAGCACCGTGCCCAGGATCCTGATCCAGGATCGCTAGCCCTAAATCTGGGGACCCCGTCGGCGTGTGCGAAAGGTTTTTCTGTTCGAGTCCTCGTCGCCGTCATTCGTTCATCGTCGTCTCTGTCGTCCTCTTTACCTGCGCTGTTCTTTCCCTGTGCCCGTCGCCGCTCATATCTCCTGTCCTGGGCTATCCTCCTCAAGCGCGTCAGCCAAAACGACATTGAGCAACATCGTCATACACTCTGAGGGAAGCCCCTTCCCTTTGATCCCCCCCCGCCGGGACGGGGGGGGTCCCGGGTCCGAACCCGAGGAGGTAGGTCCAGGGGGGGGGTCCGAGTCCGGACCCAGGTCAGATGCGCTGCCCCTCTGGGGGCTCCCGGGCCGCCAAAAAGCCTCCAGACGGGCCGAGAGTGCCTCGAAAACTCCCACAGACAGTCCACAAGGGCCCCGACTCGCCGAACGATCTGTCCAAGACGCCTGGACGGCCTCCAGACGGCCAAGAATCCTGCAAGACGTCCAAGGAGGCCTACGGGAGCAGCCCCAAGAGTACCTCAAAAGAACGGGCATCGCAAGTTCTCCGTGAGTTTTCGAATGGTTTCGGCGCCCTCGCCTCTCCTACTCCCCGACGCTCCACGACGGCCCGAGCGGCCTCCCAAATCGCCCCCCAGAGCAGAGGGCTCCACGAGCGACCCAGAACGGCCCAAGAGAGCCCCGAGACGGCCCAGGACGCCGCCAACAGGCCCTGGAAGCCCCCCACAAAACGGCTCCAAGACGGCGCCGAGACCAGAGACCAAGACGGACCCTTCGAGCCCTCCGCCCCGAGCGGTCCCGGGAGAAGCCGGGAGGAGGCCCCCAGGAAGGCACCCCCAGGAGCCCCGAGGAGACCTCAAGCTGTTCCCGACAGGCCCCCGGGAAGCCCCAACAGGTCCCCGTGGCCCCACACAGTCCCCATACAGTCCCCCGAGGCTCCCAAGAGGCCCCATACAGTCCCCCGTGGCCCCCAAGAGCGTTTCGACCCGACCCCAAGAAGCATCCCTGAGGACTCCGACCCACGTCAGCGTCGTCGCCGTCGGCAGCCCGGCGGTGTATACACAGTAAAACGGTTGGCGCGCTGCCCTTTGTCTCGGTGGCGACACAGTGGCCCCAGCTTGTTAGATGGCGAATACATGGCAACTCCTCCGCCATCCAGCTCCTCATCCCTCCTCCTCCTCCCCCTCCTCCTCCTCCTCCTCCTAATATTCTTCCCTCCTCCCTCCTTTTCAACTTTCCCTTCACCTCCTCCGTCCCCCTCTGCTCCTCCCTCCACTTCCTCAACTTCTTGAATCTGTTCATCGTCGCCGTCTTCGTCGCCGCTCCCCTCCAGGGCCAGCGGCACCGGCCGTGGGGCCTTCGCAATCCTGCCACCTCCAGAGACGGCCCGGCGAATCGAAGCGCGCGCCTCGACCCGAGCCTGCACACAGAGGGGGCCCTTCCGCCGAGAGGGCTCCGGCGCGGCACCCCCCCGCAGCCACAGGAGGAGTCCGGCCGCCCGTGCAGAGCAGGGGGAGCTGGAGGCCGGAGGCGCCCGCCGGGCCCGGGTGGCGGCACGCCGCCTGGCGTGAGTGGGTCGGCCCTGCGGCGCTCTCCCCTCCCTGACGCGGGCCCGGGGCCTCGGGCACCGCGCGAGCTGCGCAGCATCGGCTGGCCCGCCACCGTGCCCCCCTGGGCACGTCGGGGCGGTGCGAGAGTGCCAGGTGCTGCCTGGTGGGGTCAAGTGTGCAACTGGGCAGGCGAGCTCTGCCTCCCTGTTTTGGCCCACAGCTCTGCTGCAGCTCTGCGGAGGCTCTGTGGAAGGTCTGGTTTGGGCACACTGCAGACCCTACCAGGCAGGGTCTGTAGTGTGCACAGCCCCTCGCTCCCCTTCTGGACGCGCCCAGCCGCATGCCCCCTCCCCCTCCTGGGAGCCACAATCCCTCTCAAAACACGACAGGCTCGCGCTCCCGCGGCCCAGCTGCCTCCAAGACGGCGAAATGTCGCTTCAAGACGAGCCACTGTGGCCTCTTGGTGGCCCAGGACGGCCTCAAGACGGCCTACGAGGCCTGCGAGGCGCCCTCAGAGAGCCCCAAGAGCCTTCCGAAGAGGGCCTCGAGAGGCAACAATCGATGATTACCCAATGGTGTTTCAATGTGTTTCGGGTTCTCGCCTTTTCGAACTTCCGACGTTCCGATACGACACACGAGGCCACCAGGACGGCCCCAAGACGGCCCAAGAGGCCCCCAAGAGGGCCCCCAAGACAGCCCAGGAGGGCTCCAAGGCGGTCCAAGAGACGCACAAGCATGCCCAAAATGGCCCCAAGACGGCCCCAAGAAGGGCCCAAGAGGGTGAACACGGACCGACAAATTCGAGCCTTCCGCCCAAAGCTGGCTCAGGAGGCCCAAAGAGGGCCAAGAGAGGCCCCCAAGATACCCCCAAGAGGGCCAAGAGAACCAACACATACAAATGTTCCCTGGTTGTTTCCATGTTTGTGGCTTCTCGCCTTTTCGAGCTTCCGACGCTCCAAGACGGCCCAATGGGCCCTCAAAGCTCCCCCGAGACAGCTCAAGAGGCCCTCCAAGGCGGCCCAAGAGGGCTCCCAGACGGCCCAAGAGGCAGCCACGACTGCCCAAGAGGGCCCCAAGAGGGCCCTTAGAAGGGCCCAAGAGTCGGAGCACGAACCCAAATGTCGAGCCTCCTGTCTCAAGAAGGATTGCAGACGGATTCCTTATGTGGCTGATTACGAAATAAACATGATTGCAGCGGAATGCAAATCAAGGCCCTTGCGCGCAACAGAACGGAGATGGAGGTGGAGGGAAACCGGAAAAACAACAAAAACATGCAAAACCTTCGTTTGTAAATACATCGACAACAACAGCAGTCACAGGTTTGGGGGCGCTACCTTAATCTTACTGTGAAAGCATAAATGTTTCGTTGCTGTTTTCTCGTTTTCCAAGTTTTCCTGCTTCTCCCTTCGAGGGACGCTCCTTCTCGCGGCGGCTCTCATTTTTTGTTATAAAATGATTATGGTTTTGGCGGGTTACAAACATAATAGTGGTGGCGGCTTGAGGGATAAAAACAAGGTTCCTCCTGCGCCAGATTACAATAGGACTCCGTTGTGGCGGATTGCAACTAAATTCATGCTGTGGCGGCTTACAACAAGATTCGCCTTGTAAAGGATTACAAAAGGAATCACTTTGGTGCGGCTTACTTCAAGGTTTCTTTTGTGGCGGGCTGCAGGAGGATTGCAAAACAATTCTGTTGGTGGGCAATCGAATAATGTGAATCTGTATATATATATATATATATCTTTATACATATACACATATATATATATATATTCTTTCGGCAGCAGAGCGGAGGAAAATTAAAGCAACACATACATGACACAACAATGAACACTTAATCTGGAAAACTCAACAAGGGCAACCGTCACGGTTTTTTTTGTTGGCTTCCCTTGTCAAATCGCAGGTGTGTCTGTTGTTCGTGATTTCCTGTTTTCCTGTTCCTCGTCGTGGCGGCTCCCCCTGGTGATTCGTTCTGTGGCGGGTTACAGAAGGACTCCTTATGTGACGGATTACAGAAAAATATGTTTGCAGCGGTTTGCAATAACATTCCGTTTGTTTGTGGGGAATTCAACAAAGATTCCTGATGAAGCGGCTTACACAAGGATTCCGTCAGTCCGCTTGTGGCGGATTAAACAGGATTCCGCTTGTGGCGGCTTGCTTTGTGGTGGTTTTACCAAAAGGTTCCTTTTCTATGACGGTTCGCGAAAGAATTCCTCATGTGGCAAATTACAAGGCAATTTTGTGGCGGCTGGTCACCATCTGTTTCTCTTGGCGAAGGAGTACAAATGAGGGCCCCTCGGAGCAGCAAAATGGGGAAGGAGGAAGACATAACAACATGTGATTTCACGCGGGCAAAGCAAATCGCACTTGAAACAGAGCGACAATCGCAGGTTCTGCGTTTTTTGAGCCTGGTTGCTTCTCCAAGTCTTCCTTGGGAAAGCCTCCCTTCGAGGGCCCTGGGCCACTCGAGAGGCCCGGTGCCCCTCCGCGCAGCAGACCGGAGGAGAAGCAGGTAACAGGAGAAGTGAGGAAACACACACACACACATATGCATCCACAGCGAAACATCGGATCAGCTCGAAAAAGAGCGACAATCTTAGGTTTTGTGCTTTTCCTGTTCGCCCTTGTCCCTTGTGAGAACAGAAGTGTTTCCTATGTTTTTTCATTGCGTTTCCTGTTTGCCGGCTCCTCCCCTCGAGGGCCCCGGCCCTCCGAGCTGCCCAGCACACATAGATGCTCATACAACTTTGATTGTTCCCACTTTCGGATGATGGCCATGCGATTGCGATTGGACTTTCTATGAAATCCAGCGACCAAGGGCCAGATCCCACATCTAGATGATCTTGCTCGGCGTTCGTCATTTGCGACAAAAGAGGGCCCCGCAGCGTTCCTTCCTCGCTCAACGGGCACGCGAACGCGTGGCGACGCGACGGAACTTCGCCAGCGGCAAAGGCGCTAGAGACCCAGACCGAGTGGAGATCGAACGGCCGAACCAAATCGGCTGGCGCTGGCCAAAGCAGTCATCGCAGCCGAGCGCCGTTTGACGGCGGTCTTCGGCGAGGACTCCGAAGCAAAGCAAAGCTCCAAGGCTCCAAGGCGCCGGCGTCGCTGCGCTCCGCTCGTGTCTAGGCCGAAGTGGCCATCGAGGAGAAAGGTAAGTCTAGCTCCTTTGCTACCATAAATCATTCGGATCCAGGAACTGGCAACACCTGCACGCGGGAGCTCTGGTTGGCTCCACATTATGAACGTAGGCATCCATGCTCAGCATTGGATGAGGGAACCGGCGCCAGAAACATGATCCATAGCCTCAGGCTCAACGATGCTGGCCGATGCCCGCCCTGGGGTCCGGCGCTGGGGCCGGCCGAGCAGCTCCGAATGCCAACCCCCATCCCACTAATCCTCCTCATCTGCCATTTCTATCCGTCCCTCCTCCTCCTCACATCCATTCGCCTCCTCGTCCTCCTCGTCCTCGTCTTCCTCCGCCTCCGTCCCTCCTCCCCTCCTCCCTCCCGTTTCCGCAACCGCCGCGCGCACGGCTGCGCCAGCGGAAAGGGCCACCGCACCCACGGCCACCGGAGCCGCCGTACTGGCCGCAGGCCGCAGGCGTTGGGAAAGACGGGGGACGAGAGGAGGGAGAGGAGGGAGGCCGCGGCGGGAGGACGAGAGGGACGGAGGGCGAGAGGAGGGACGGAGGGCGAGAGGAGGGAGGGAGGAGGGACGAGGACGAGAGGACGGAGGGAGGCGGGAGGGAGGAGGACGAGAGGAGGGAGGAGGACGAGAGGAGGGAGGAGGAGGGAGGATGCCCCACTGCGACCTCCGACTTGTCGCTTGCGCGCTTCTCGATGATCTCGCGCAGCTTGGAGCGAGCGTCCTGAGAGAGGTGGAACAAAAGGAAGGATGAGGAAGAGCAGGAGGAGGAGGAGAAGCGACGCTGCCGCGAGCCGATGTCCTCACCGAAGGAAAGAGGCGAGAGCAGGCGAACGTCTCGCTGTTTGCTTCAGCCGCGGTTCGGCGATGCGCGTGAAAACACTGGGGTCGCACCCGATCGAGCCCCGCGCAGGCAAGGACAGTAGAGAAGGAGGGGGAGGGAGAGGGGAGGTGGAGGAATAAGGACCCCCATGCAAGCCCCACGGATTGCATTGGAGCGCGGTGGATTGAGGTGGGGCTTCGCCACCGGTCTCCCTTTTTGTTTGTCTCATGTTTCTCTCTATCTTTACAAATGCCCCTCACTTTCGGTATGTCTATAGACTTGTATCACTCACTCACTATATGTATTGGTATATGCATATGAATGTATGGAGTACTATCGCTCTCTCTCTCTCTCTCTCTCCCGTTATGCATATAGCCGTATTGCACTCGATCTATACGTATGTATGTATCGTTGTGCTTCCCTCTGCCTCTCATTGTTTTTTTGTTGTTTTGTTTCTCTCTCTCTCTCTCTTTCACTCTCTCTCTCCTTCCCCCTCTGCCCCTCTCTCTCTCTCTCTTCCTCCGTCTTTCTTATTGTCCACCGTGCCGTAATTAGGCACTGGGACATCCAGAATATGACAAGCGTTGGCGGGGCCCACGAGAGCCCCGCGGGACGGGACCTTGGAGCTCACCGCGGGCCTCTTGGGGCGGGCCGCATGAGTCCCCCAACGGCCTCGGGGGCGCGGGCGGGGCTCCATAGCGCCAACTTGGCCGAAGATAATATTAGGGCCCGTTCGGGAATCCCCCGAGCAAGTCTCTCGCCGACTCGGAGCACTCCAGGGTCGGCCCGAAGGGCCAAAATGAATGCAGAGCAAAGACGCCACACACGCACAACATCATCGGCTCGTCGGTCCGAAGATCCGAGCCCCCAAAGAGGCGGCGGAGCGGCGGCGCTCCGCCATCGAATGATGGCCCATCTTTGCCACATGGACTCTGCGAGGGGCTGCGGGCGCGCCGCCGTGGAACCCCCCCGCTCAGCCACTGCGCAGACGACGGGCCGTTCAGGCGCGCGCCGCCCCCTCGCCCGCGGCCGATTCCGGCCGCGAGCGCGCGCGCGACCCCCCCGCGCAAACTGCCCCGCTCTCGCGCCGCAGGCCGCGGAGAGCGCGCCTTCTCAGACCGGTCCTGACACGATGCACAAGAAAGAGCGCCTGGTGTCGACGCAAGGCGGCATCTGCCCACGACTCCGCGCCGCGCGACCCCTCGGTCGACCCCGCGCCGCGCCGGGGTCGTCGACGGCGCCAGTCGCCCGGGATCGCCGGGCCATCTGCGCCTGGTCACGGTCGCCACTGCGATCGCCCCCGCGGTAGAACTTGCCGCCGCCGATCCTGCATCGCCCCCCGCGGCGCGCCGAACCGTCGGCGGGCGGGGCGCGAGCCTGCGACGTCGCCGCGGACCTCGGGCCTCCGTCGACGGGTCGGCCAAGTTGCGCGCCGATCTCCCGCGCAGCGACCTCGCCGCACCGCGCGTGCGCCCGCACCCGCTAGCGGCGCGCCCCCAGACTTCCCGCCCACCCCGCGCGCGTGGGGCGAGCAGACCCCGACCGCCATCGCGCTTTCTGTCACCCTCGACGGGCGCCTTCACGTCCACGCCCAAAAGTCACATGGGCTGCTCCGCGGGCCAACTCCACGCGCTCGGCCCCGCCGCCGGTCGGCGACCGCCGCCTGTCGGCTGCCCCGGCCGCCCGCGCGCACGTCGCCGATGCGCCGGGGCCCCCCGCCGCGACTTCGCTGGGCCACTTGGTCTCCAGCCCCCGGGCTGAGTCGCTTGCGATCGCGATCTCTGCGGGCGCCCCCGCGCGCTTGAAACGCTTAGCTGCTTAGCTTCTAGCGCGGCCCCCGCGGCCCCCGCGCGCCCCCCGCGGCCCAGCCCGCGCTGAAGCGGGCGCCCGGTCTGTCGGCCGCCAGGCAGGGCGCCGCCGGGGCCGCGGACTGGAACGGCTTCTTCGCTTTGTAACCCGCATGGCCGAGCATCGCCGGCCCCCCCCTCTTGGACGAGGGCGGCGCCTGCCAACTGGCGACCACCTCGCCGCGGGCATCCGCCGCGGTCTCTGCGAACTCCACGTCGCCCCCGCCGCGGAATCCTGGCTCGCCATTCGCTTCAGGAAGCGGCATTCGGCTGCCCCCCCCCCCGCCGCGCTTGGCCCGACGCGCCGCGATTCCTCCGCCGGGAAGCTGCGGATCGACAACGCGCTACTCCGCCGCAGGTTCTGGTGGTTCGCCGCCGCCGAGAAGTCGGCGCCGCGCGCGGAAACCTGGGCGCCGCGCTCGCGGCCGTAGAGAAAACAATGGCGGCGGCGCGCGGTCTCCGAAGTCGACCGCCGGCGGGCGTCTCGATTGCCGCCCGCTGGAACGATTGATTGTCCGTCCCACTCGCGTCGCGAACGGGCGCTGTCCCATGTGCGCCAGGGCGCGGGCGCCGCAGTTGTCGCCCTGGCCCTCGCTCCCCGTCGCGCCCGCGCCCCCCCCCTGCGCGCGTCTGCCGCGCGGCGCCGCGCGGCGCTGGTCGCGCCGCCCGCCTGCCGCGCCGTTCGCGCCTTTGCCTTTCGCGCCCTTGCCCCGCTGCTCCTGGGAATTGCCCGTGCCGTGCGAACGCGCGCCGCTGGGCCCCCTGCCTCGACCGCTGGAATCTCGCCGGGGCCATCCACCGCGCGAGGCGCCCACCGCTCAGGGCATCACTCGGTCGCCACCTCGCCGCCCGACGCGTTGGTTCACCAGGAAGTCCACGACCTCCCTTCGTGCATTTTTCGCGCGCGATCAGCCCGTTCGCGTTCAACGCCAGATTCTTGAACGCGTCGCCCTCGAGCCCTGGGATTAGCGCGTTCACTTTGACCGGCTCTCGCCGGGCATCATCGGCCTTCCCCTCGCGCCCCGAGCCTCGCGCTCCCAGGTCTCGATCGCCCCATCTGGCGCCGCCGCCTGGCTTAAACGTCGCGTTCCACATCTGGTTGAGCGAGGTCCCCTGCCGTCCTCGGACGGGAGGCCCGTCCTCAATGGTGAGCTGCCTTCGTGCTTCAAAGCCGCCTGCGCCCTCGTGGCCCCGCGAGCCCCGCTGGGCTAGTCTGCGCGCGCATGGCGAAGAGGCGGAAGCGCGTCCATGATCGCCTGTCATATCAGGGCTTCTCGTCCCCAACAAAACTTGGTTATCTCGCTCTCCCGCGCGGCTGCTCTTTCCATCGGCCCACGCGCGCGCGCCCATCGATGCATCCCGGCTGCGGAACAGGGGCGACTAGTCTGACCAGCTCCCTTGTCCACCACAGAGGTAGTCCGGCACCTGTAGAATCGTTGCCTCGCACAGCGCGTTCTGATTTTCCGTCGCCGACGCAAGCTCCGCCTTGGCGGTCCGCGCCGCCATGGCGGCCGCATGATTGGCTGCCGCCGTTGCGTATGCATCGGTTCGGCCGGCTTCGTTCCGAGCGCGCCGAGCCGCTTGGACTTCCTCAAAGTTGCTCTCCTCTGGCTGCTCGACCCATCGCAGAACATCTCCATCGTATCTGCGGTCCTGGTTGTCCGTGGTGCGCTTCGCGCGGTGCATGTGCTGTCCAAGCTTCGTGCCGATATGCTCTCACCCTGCTTCAGGGTGAGCGATGATCTGACCACCCAAGCTCAACCTCGAATGGGTGCTCGTCGACTATCATCTGCCCGCCGTCGGACTGGCTGGGAGTGGCAGTCTCTGTCGCCGTGATTCTTATGCGTGAGCCAGACCAGATGTGCTACCATTCGAATGCCCAACACAGGATCCCGGAGTGGCGTAGCTTCGTCATCGGGCGATGTTCCCCGAAAAAACGGCCCAAGAGCGGGAGCTCAACCTGACGTTCGGGGCCCCCCACCCCGAGATAGCCTGAGAGATCGCCAGGGGGTTCCGAAGAGTCCACCACGAGGCCCCCAAGAGGCCCAGAAAGGCCTCAAATAGGCCTACAGGAGGCGCCCCAACAGGCGTCCCGAAAGACCCCGAGAGACATACAAGAGGGTCAGGTCCACAATCCAGGCACGGTGTCGGTTGCTGGCCGAAGGCCATGGGATAACCATCTATGTGTGTACATAAAGAGAGAGAAAGAGAGAGAGAGAGAGAGAGAGAGAGAGAGAGAGAGACAGAAAAAATAAAAAAAGAGGAAAGAGATAGAGAGAGAGAGAGATCAATACATCAATAACATATATATATATATAGAGAGAGAGAAAACAAAAAAAGGAGAGGAACAACACATATGTGTATATATACACATCTGTTTGTGTGCGTGTGTAGCAGGCATCTACGAGCAAATCCATACATCTATATCTATGTACACATTCTACATGCGGGAAAAATGCAATGTATATGCTTCGTTGTTTTTGTCTGAGAGAGCGCGTTTCACGGGCGCTTGCCTTGGGAACATTCGGCGGCGCGTTTCAAACCGGGGGGCGGCCCCCCCCAACACTCGGAGCCGTCTATCAAACCAGAGGGACTCCCCCCGCCCCCAAGCCCTCCACCTCCCGAGCCGCCCCCCCTCGGCGCCGGCGCTGGCGCTGGCGGCCGCCAGCAGCGCCCACGGCGCGGACGCAGCGACGATGACCAGAGGCAGCCCAAGGGGGGGAGTTCAACCACCCCCCCCTGCCAAAGGGGGGGTGGTTCAAAACCCCGCCCCCGTCGGCGCTGGCGCTGGCGGCGGCCAGCAGCGCTGGCGCTGGCGCCGGCGACGGCGGGAACGCAGCGACGATTACCACCACTACCACCACCGCCACTACCACCACCACCACCACCACCGCCCCAACCCACCACCACCACCACCACCAACAACACCACACAACCAGCACCACCACCACCACCACCACCACAGCCACCACCACCACAACCACCACCGCAACTCACCATCATTACCATCACCAACACCACCACCTCCACAAAAACCCACCACCGCTACCACCACCGCCAGAATCTACCACACCACCACCATCACCGCCATCACTACCAGCAACAGAACCCACCGCCACCACCACAAACCACCACACCACCACCACCACCACCGCCACCACCACCACCACCACCACAACAAACGTCCACAAACCACCGCCACCACCACAACCCACCACCACCACCACCACCACAAACCACCACCACACCACCACAACCACCACCACCACCACAACTCACCATCACCACCACCACCACCACAAAAACCCACCACCACTACCACCACCACCACCACCACAATCTACCACACCACCACCACCACCACCACCGCCACAACCACCACCACTACCAGCAGCACAACCCACCACCACCACCACCACAAACCACCACACCACCACAAACCACCGCCACCACCGCCACCACAAGCACCACCTCCACAAACAACCGCCACAACCACAACCCACCGCCACCACCACCACAAATCACCACCACACTACCACCAAACCACCACCACCACCATAACCCACCACCACCACCACCACCACCGCCACCACCACAAGCACCACAACCCACCACCACCACCACGACCGTCGTCCTCGTCGACGCTCCCCGCCACCGCCGCCCGCCGCCGCAGGCGCTGGCGCCGGCCAAGAAATGGATATCGTCGTCCCCGCCGCCGTCGCCAGCCGCCGCCGACCCAAGTGCAGCGCCGGCCCGAGGAGAGGGAAGCGGGGGGGGGGGGTTCGAACCCACCCCCCTCCATCCAGGGGAGGGGGGGGGGTCCAGTTCCAATCCCCCCCCCTCCAAGCGACCACAGAACGCGCTCTCTCCTTTGTCTCTATCTCTCTCTATCTTTCTCGCTATCTCTCTCTCTCTCTTTCTCTCTATCGGTCTCTCGCTCTCTCTCTCTCTCTCTCTCGACATCGGTAAGTCGATCTATGACAGCGCGGTCGAATGTTCCTCGAGCACACCGGCCTCTCGTCCAGCTGGCCAGCCGTATCTGTTCACCCTGCAAGAGAAAGCGAGAAAAGGATGCTTCCACGACTCACCACCTGATAACCTGTTGTTCCTGGAAGGACTCACTGCCCATTTACATGACAAAATCCACGTAGCTCTGGGACGGCAGCGGCACTGCACACAGGAGAAAGGGAGAGAGAGAGAGAGAGAGAGAGAAAAAAAAAAAAAGAGAAGAGAGAGAGAGAGAGAAACAACAAGAAAGAGGAACACAGCGAGGGAGAGAAACCGAGACAGAAGGAGGTCGAGCAATGGGCTCCTCGTCAAGCTTGTACTTCGACATCAACGCCTCTCCCGCTCCCCCCTCTCGCAGGGGGGCATCGAGCCGCCCCTCCTGCGCCCCGCAGACGGATGCCATGAAAACTTGGGAACCCCCAAACCCGGTGGTGAGATACCAGGCGGCGACCTGGAATCCCCAAAAAGGTCACCGCTGGCTTTGGGGACGCGGGGTCACCACCGGGTTTTGTGACTCCTGGACCCACCAGTGTCCGGGACATCCTCGGAAAACCGCACGAGTCCCCAAGCCGGGTGGTGACACCAAATCGCCCGAGACTCACCGCCAGGTGTTGTCACCACCACGTTTGGGGACTACCAAAAAACTGGGCCCTGTGACCTAGTGACGCGATCACCGCTGGCGCAGATCGTGGGCGGGCGGCATCTGCGTAATTATCCACGCCCTCGCGGGGGCGGACTCCTCGCCGGCGGCCCCGTGCACACCGGGCGGCTTGGGCCGAATGCCCCACGCGTAACGTATCCGTGGCATGGCGGCGCGAATGCCCCACGCGTAACCTATCCGAAGCATGGCGTGCGTACCTATGGGCTCGTGCCACGGCATCTGGAGAACGAGGCCTGCGGCATCCGGATCGCGTCACTCGTGAGGAAGCCCAGGCGAGGCAAGGGAAAAATGACCTTGCTATCACTAAGAACGCTGAACAGGGAACGAAGGGGTGCGTCTGGTCACGGCGAAGTCTTGGCCACGAGCAGCTTTACCGACCTGGATTTACGAAACGGCGCGAAAACCAGAGCCACTCCTGAGGCCCAGAGTGGTCCTTGTGTCAGCGTCTTGACTGTACTCTCCGAAGCCTGTGGTGCGTGGAGGTCCAGACGGCCCACCTCTTACTCTGGCCGAGACGAGACTTGAACAGAACCTGGGCATGTCAGGGGAGGACGGTCTGGGATCCTGCACCCCGGAGCGCCACGCAAAGGCTCGTCGCCCACACGAGGCGCACCCGGCGCGCCTGGAGGCAGGAGGGGCCGAGAGGAGGCCGAGCGCCGAAAAGCTGCCGCCGCGGCCCCGTGGCGCGCAGCCTGGGACACGCCGTGCTGGATTCCAAGGGCTCCCGACTTCGCGCTCCGCGCCGCGCGAAGCGCAGAGTGCGAAGAGCTTCGCGCTCTCGCGCCGCCTCCCATGGGGGGGAAAAGGAGGACGAGGAGGAAGCGGAGCCGAAGCGCGAAGCGCGAATGGCTTCGCGCCCTCGAGGGCGCCCTTGTGGATTCTCACGGGCGGAGCACGCGGAGGCCACGCGCGGGACGCGCGTGCGGAGGGCAGGCGTGACTGGCCGTGCCGGGGCCGAGCGCTGGGAGGGCACGGGGCCACGTGTGCATCCGGGCATCGTCAAGGTCGGCCACGTCGTGTGCGGCGTGCGTCCAGCGCCCCCCCTGTCGTGCGGCATGCTGCCCGTCAGGCTCTGGGCGGCTGTCCCAGGGATCCGAACACGACAAGGTGCTCTCTCTCTCTCTCTCTCTCTCTCCTTTCCCGACAAAGCACTTCATGTCCTGGGGGTTCCACTCCCTCGCCTCCCCTTTCGAATCTGCATGGGAGGCCCGAGTCCTCCTTGGCGACTTCCAAGGACTCCCAAAGCCTCGAAGGGGACACTTGTGAGTACTGAAGGCGCCAAGAGACCCCGAGATAGTACTCAAGATTGCGCCGGGACGCCCAAAGTCCTTGAATGATCCTGGCGCGGACGACAAACACTGACTCTGTGTACCGTATATTGGGTGCAATAAATGGCGCGCCTAGGTGGTACATTCTATGCGGCGCAATCAGTGCGGTGCAACTTTGTGAAATGCAACCAATGAGGTGCAATTTACGCGGCAGACAACATGTGAGAACATTAGAGGCCGTCAACTCCAACGCTCGAGCGAATTTCCCAACCACACACCCGACTTGTTGGCAATACTCAAGAGGCTATGAATGCAATTACCTGTCAGATCTTGTTTGCAAGCCCCCACAGGCGCGATGACGCGCGGATCCCAAAATCGAGCGGGCGAATGAAGATGTCGGCAGGTCGTACGGTTCGTTGTGTTTCGAGCGCTCTGTCTTGAAACACTTCCTAACCCATGTCGTTGGCATGGTTTCGACTTTCGCGCGCGTGGCCCGACAGGCTTACGAGACAACAGTGGTGCTGTCTCGCCGGTGTGACACACGCGGTCGCAGAACCCCGCCGGCCCTTTCGGGCGTGAGCGGTTCAGGGAGCTTCCTCCTCCATCCCCCCCCTTTCTTCCCCTTCGGGGAGGGGCGTGTCACTGGTCCCTGTCAGGCCGCCACCGTGCCGAGAGGCGCGAAGGGAGTCTTCCCCAGGCTTCGCGTGTTCTCTACCCCGGGGCCTGCACTCTAATATTCCAGGGGCTGGGGCCCCACATTCTCGGACTGTTTGGGCTCCAGTTCGCAGAGTGGTGCCCTGCTGAGTTGCCTCACGGCATGCGCACTCGAGGCTCCTGCCCATCACTAGCAGAGCGCTGCTCTGCCAGCTGGCCTCAACGCAGGGTTCCTGATCCTGCTCGAGCTGTGATTGGCAGAGCGCAGCTGCGAGCATGTGCGCGTTCACTGCTCCTCCTCACGAGCAGAGCGCCGCTCTGCCAACTTGACTCAGAGCATGCGCACTCGCTGCTCATGCGTTATTCGCCCGAGGGCCCCAAAACGGGCCAAGAGGGCCCCGAGAAGCGCCCAAGAGGGTCCGAGAGGCCCGGTTCCGACCCCACCCCAAGCGCCTACAGAACGCGCTCTTTCTGACATGCTTACTAACCATGTCAGAAAGACTGCGTTCTAATCCTTAGGACACCGATGGACACCGATGGACTGGGAATCGGTGGACACCGATAGGTCCGATGGACACCGATGGACACCGATGCGACATCTTTCCCAATCCATCGGTAGGACACCTATGGATTGAGAATGATGTCGCATGTCATGGTGCGGGGGGGCGCTCACGCGGCCCGCAGGGCTTTAACATCTTGCGGCATGCGCACCCACTAGTTTTCTCACAGAACAGGTGAGCGCCCCTTACTTCCTCACAAACCATACGCCGAAAGGCGCGCAGACATATCTGAGACATGCAGTGCCGCACGACGCCTCAGGTTGATCTCCACTGGGGAAGCAAGTCCCAAGACACACACATCGCCTCAAAACCAAAGGCAATGCTACTCGATGCATAATGTGTCCAACCTCGATGGCATCTGAATGTGCACGGGAAACTTCGGACCCTGGAGAAATCCGTACCCGGTGGGGCGGCCTCCTCCTCCTCCTCCTCCTCCTCCTTCTCCTCCTGCATCATGCGTCCCATTCTTTCTGGCTCGCGACGGCATCTGAAGCGCCAAGGACAGGCCCGAGATGGCCCCCCCGGGGTGGTCCACAAGGCGCCTCCAAGACGACCGCCCGAGAGGACCAAAGGGCCCGAGAGGGCTCTCGAGGCGACCATCCCGAGGGCGGCTCCAACTTCCGGGCGGCTCCAGCTCCCCGAGGAGGAGGAGGAGGAGGAGGAGGAGAAGGAGGAGGAGGAGCAGGAGGAGGAGGGAGGAGGAGGAGTAGGAAGAATGCGACCGCCCCAAAGGGCCCCAAGATGCCCCCAGAGAGAGCGCCGGAAGAGCCCTACCCTATGCGCCCCAAGAGAGCCCCAAGACGACCCGAGAGTCATTGCAAAACCTGCCACGACCCCTCCCCTCACTCTCTCTCTCTCTCTCTCGTTCTCTCTCTCTCTCTCCCCCGTCTCCTCCTCGTCCCACCCTCTCTGCACCGTGACAACGATCTGCCGCATGTACGGTCCCACTCCGATGTGGCTCTGATGGCAGAAGAGAGACGAACAGAGTGCTGTGTGCTATGCTGGCATGGCGGCAGCGTTTGCAGCAAGCACACGGATATGCAGGCCCGATAACGATCAATCGAACACCAATCCGCCAGACGCGCTCACTCAAGTGTATATTCTCACGTTCGCCCCCCAAACCAACAATATTGCGCCTCGTCGGCAGGCTGCAATTTAATGCAACCGCGCACTCTAAACCGAGACTGCGCGGTCGGCAGCGGGAAGCAATCGCAAGAATAACAAGCAACCCCCCCCCCACACACACACACACACACACACACACACACACACACACACACACACACACACACACACACACACAGGATTCGGAAACGAACCGAGCTGAGATAAGAGAAGCAGGCTGGGGCAAGCGGAGAGATGCACGAGATGAGAGCGGGAGGAAGAGGAACTGCGAACGACGAGCAAACACAGAGGCACAACCGCTCGTGGCTTCCAGACGCAGAGGCAGAACGGTCGCGGGGCCCTGCTCGCTCTAGGGGAGGGGGATGAGGGGCCCCGCGGGAGCCCCCCGAACACCATCACGAGCCCCGGATCCTCAGCACCCCCACCTCCTCCCCCCGTCCACGTCCCTCCCGCCTCCCTCCTTCCCTCCCTCCCTCCCTCCCTCTCCCTCCTCACCACGCCGAACGGCCGCGGCGCCTCTTCCCCGTGCCCGCCCGCTGCCGAGGACCGAGGCGTGCACAGGCGAGGCCCCGAGGAACGGCCAGGGAGCCCCCGACCCTCGCCTCGGCTTCCTCCAAGTCTGGCAGCTCGTCCACCTCACCTGGGGAGAGCGCCAACTGCACACCTCCTCCTCCTCCTCCTCCTCCTCCTCCTCCTCCTCCTCCTCCTCCTCCTCCTCCTCCTCTCCTCCTCCTCCTCCTCCTCCTCCTCCTCCCTCTCCTCCTCCTCCTCCTCCTCCTCCTCCTCCTCCTCCTCCTCCTCCTCCTCCTCCTCCTCCTCCTCCTCGGCTACAATCATCGCGCTGCCATGAGAGACGCCGATTAAGGGACAACTCCCCGTCAGGGCCCCGAGAGTGCCTGGGTGCACGAGGGGCCCGAAGCCATGAAGGACACGAGCACCTGCCGAAACCGACCTGTTCATTGCTTCACCGTCTTGCCTGCACATGCTAGAGCGACCCCAAAGCAAGGAATGGCCTCTGGTGCGCGGCTTTCCGACCGTGGCACGCGATTCGACGGTAGCGGCACACGTACTTAGATTTGCCGCCACCGCCACCACCACCACCCCGCGCCCACGAAATCCATGTACCAAAGCTACTGCAAAGAGCCACCCTCACGTGTATCGGAGGAAGGCCAGGTGAAACAATGCCAGCCCTTCCGCCCAGCTCGTGTCCGATATCAAGATCGGTCCCCAGACTCCTGCAGGAGTCCCTCCTGACCCGTTTTTCCAAGCGGATCCAGCCGTGGCGACGAGAAGCCTCCAGGAAGAACGAAAGACGCCAGGGAGGGCCGCCGTTGTCTCGACTGGCCCTCATCCGAGGATAGCCGACACACGCAACCACACACACACACACACACACGCACACACACACACACACACACACACACACGCACACGCACACGCACACACACACGCGCACACACACGCACACACGCACACACACACACACACACACACACACGCACACACACACACGCACACACACACACACACACAGAAGCGCCTATCCCAGCCGGCCCCCTGGGCCGGGCGTTGCGAAAGGGGGGGGAGAGGGGGGGGGGGGGGGGGGGGGGGGGCAAAACACGGGGAGCGAGGAGAGGTGCACCTTCCGCGCATCTCCGGGGCCCCGGGGGGCCATTCCAAGTCAAGCTCTCTCAGGGCCCGCGGCTCGCAGCCCTCGATCGCCCCGTGTTTCTCTCCCTCCCTGCCCCTCACGAGGCGCCCAGTGGGACGGCCCAGGGCCGCAGACGGCGCAGAGTTGGCGCTCCCGCGATGACCCTCGAGGAGCTTCCCCGCGAGCAAGGTGGCCTGTGCGGGCCGCGCGGCGCGGGGCGCGCGCGCGACGCGCGCCGAGCGGGCGCACACAGGGCTGGTCGCCCACGCGCCGAGGGGCATCTGTGCACCGCCGCCGTGGCTTCGGCTGCACGCTAAGAGCGACCCCGGGCAGCAGTGACCTCTGGCGCGCAGCTTTGAGGGGAGGGGCGCGAGGGGGTCAAAAGCAAGCGCGCGAGCCGCTGCTGTCGCATCTTGCTCAGCGATCGGGAGGGCCCCAATGGGGCCCGCACCACGGGTCGCTCTGGCCAAGGGTCACTCGTACGTGTAGTCTTAGGTCGGGCAGGCGGATCTAGCAGTCCAAAAATTCGCCGGCCCAACGGGCCAGAGGCGTGCTAAGATCTCCGATGACTACTACTAAACAATATATCTAGTTCGCGCGCGCGGGGCGGCCCCTGGGGGCCCCCGGACGAAAAGTACCCCGGCTGACCCCCGGGCGGGTCCCGGGCGATCCCCAGAGGGGAGGATATGTTTCGCACCCCCTCACGAGGATCGTGGCCTCCGAGGGGGTGGCTGCAATCGACTACCCCCCCTCCCACCCCAAGGGGCCCCCAAGAGCCCCGTAAGAGGCCCCAGGGGAGCCCAAGACGCAGCCAAGGAGCCCCAAGAGGCCCCCAAGAGGCCCCCAAGACGGCCCCAAGAGGCCCAAAATAGCGCTCCAGGGGCGGCGGAATGAGCGAAGCGATTAAATAATCAGAAATTGTCCAGAGAGAGCACGAATAGTCGTCACCTGACTATTTTGCTGACGATTCTTGCACGTTCCTCCTGTAGAGGGACCTGCCCGACTCTTACCTGCGGTCGATGGCGGACCAGGGCCACCCTGGGCCCCGGCACGGTATTATCTGGGGCCCCCTGCCCAAGGACCGAAAGGCGATACGCGCACCGTCCTGGGGCCAAGGATGCCCCCAGGGCCAGGCGCGGCGGAGGAGGAGGAGGAGGAGGAGGAGGAGGAGGAGGAGAAGGAGGAGGAGGAGGAGGAGGAGGAGGAAGAGGAAAAGGAGGAGGAGAGGACGAGGAAGGAGGAGGAGGAGGAGGAGGAGAAGGAGAGGAGGAGAGGAGGAGGAGGAGGAAGAGGAGGAGGAGGAGGAGGAGGAGAGAGGAGAGAGGAGAGAGGAGGAGGCAGAGGAGGAGGAGGAGAGGAGGAGGAGGAGGAGGAGGAGGAGGAGGAGGAGGAGGAGAGAGGAGGAGGAGAGAGGAGGAGGAGGAGGAGGAGGAGGAGGAGGAGGACGAGGGGTAGTAGTAGTAGTAGTTAGTAGTTAGTAGTTAGTAGTAGTGGTAGTGGTAGTGGTAGTGGTAAGTAGTAGTAGTAGTAGTAGTAGTAGTAGTAGTAGTAGTAGTAGTAGTAGAGTAGAAGTAGTAGTAGTAGTAGTAGGAGGAGGAGGAGGAGGAGGAGGAGGAGGAGGAGGAGGAGGAGAGGAGAGAGAGAGGAGAGAGGAGAGAGGAGAGAGGAGAGAGGAGGAGAGGAGGAGGAGAGGAGGAGGAGGAGGAGGAGGAGGCGGAGGAGGAGGAGGAGGAGGAGGAGGAGGAGGAGAGGAGGAGGAGGAGGAGGAGGAGGAAGAGGAGGAGGAGGAGGAGGCGGAGGAGAAGGGGGAGGAGGAGGAGGAGACGGATGGTAAGCGGATCGTCTTCAAAATGTGGCTCTCGCCTGAGCGCCGCGCATAGTCATTGTAGAAATACGCAAGAATTTCACGGATTGAGGGCGGGTCGTTTTCAAAATGTGGTTATTGCCCTTGCGCCGCACACTTTCGTTTGAGTAGTTGCAACAGATGCACGGATTGAAGGCGGCTCGTTTTCAGAATGTGGTTCCCGCTTCAGCACCGCACACATTCGTTTAAGTAGTTGTAAAAGCTTGACGGATTGAGGGCGGGTCGTTTTCAAAATGTGGCTCTCGCCTCAACGCCGCGCACATTCGTTTCAAACGATTTGCAAGAGCTTCACGGATTGAGGGCAGTTCCTTTTCAAGTTGTGGCTCTCGCCTCAGCGCCGCGCACTTGTGTTTTGAAAAAAATTGCTCTCGCCTCAGCGACGCGCATCTTCGTTTAAGTATGTGCGGAGGCTTCACGGATTGAGGGCGGGTCGTTCTCAAAATGTGGCTGTCGCCCCAGCGCCGCGCACATTCGTTTGAGCAGTTGCAAGAGTATCACGGGTTGAAGGCGGCTCGTTTTTAGAATGTTGCCCTCACCTCAACACCGCGCACATTCATTTAAATATTTGCAGGAGTTTCACGGGTTGAGGGCGGGTCGTGTTCAAACTGTGGCTCTCGCATACGCGCCGCGCACACTCGTTTAAAACACATGCAAGAGCTTCACGGATTGAGGGCGGGTCGTTTTTTAATGTGGCTCCCGCCTCAACGCCGCGTTCTTTCGTCTTTTGGAAAACCAGGCAGGGGGTTCACGGATTGAAGGCGGCTCGTTTTCAAAATGTGGCTCTCGCATATGCGACGCGCATCTTCGTCTCGGTAATTGCAAGAGTTTCACGGATTGAAAACAGCTCGTTTTCAACATGTGGCCCTCGCCTCAGCGACGCGCGCGTTCGTTTAAGTATGTGCAAGAGTTTCACGAATTGAAGGCGGGTCGTTTTCAAAATGTGGCTCTCGCCTTATCGCCGCGTGCATTCGTCTTTTGATACAAAAGCAAAAGTTTCACGGATTGAAGGCTGGTCGTTTTCTAAATGTGATTCTCGCCTCAACGACGCGCATCTTCGTTTAAGTATTTTCAAGAGTCTCCCGGATTGAAGGCGGCTCGTTCTCAAAATGTGGCTCTCGCCTCAGCGCCGCGCACATTCGCCTAAGTATTTGCAAGAATTGCAACGGATTGGAGGCGGATCCTTTTTTAACGTGGCTCTCCCTTATGCGCCGCGCATATTCCTTTCAGAAGTTTGCAAGATTTTCACGGATTGAAGGCGCGTCGTTTTCAAGATGTGGCTCTCGCACCAGCGCCACTCACATTCGCTTTCAACATTTGTCAAAGTTACACTGACTCTCATGGTTAAACGAATCCAGATTGTCAGGGCGCAACAGTTACGTTGATTCGCGGTGTTGGCGTCCCAGGAATGGCGTTCTGGTAGAATTCAGCATCGCCAAGATGTAGCTGAAGTCGTGGCGTTGAGGTCCTGAGAATGGTGTTCTGGCACGCTATAATATGTTCACGTTCGCACGGCTGTTCCCCAACGGGGCAATTCCCTCAGTGGAACTGACCCTTGTAGGGGCCGATAAGAAAGACATATTTTTGGGATGGTGTCTTTCAAAATCGTTGATGAGTCTTGGGTTTACACTGGTCATGCTCCTCCTTCTCCTCCTCGTCCTCCTCCTCCCCCTCCTCCCCTCATCATCATCATCAGCCCCCTCGGGGCCCCGCCAACGTCAAACAAATACCATCCCTCGGGCACCCTCTGTGCACGGGGCCCCGGCACTGCTGCTCTCTCTCCAGACCAGAAGAGCGAGGATCAAAAACGGGTCTCACGCAGGATGCCGTAGCGACCTTACGCCGCAGCTCACGCGGGCCGCCAGCGCGGCACGCTGCTTGGGAGACGAGGGCGCGCACGCGCGGACTTACGCGGGCAGCTTACGCGCCAGTGTCGGCGCAGACGACCCCGTCTTCTTGCGTCGCTCAAGTGGCTGGAACAGGCGGATGTGCGACACATGGAGGTGCAAAACATAGGAGGGGAGATAGTCGTACACGGTGACCTTTGCCTACGCAGTTTCCCCCCCAAGCTTCGCGGATAGATCGACTTACGCACACAGGGTGTCTGGACAACTGTGCTTTCTGCTAACAATATGATAGCACATGCATTCAACTGCTGAGCATACACATCGCATACTTCAGAATCCGATACCTGCACTACCCCCTGTTGACTCGTCGTCTCTTCTGCACGGGTTGGTCGGGAGGCGACCACGCACCTCGGAACCTCACTCGCCCTCGCTCGAAAACAGTCTGACCTGGCACAGCATTCCCTATACTGGTTACCTGACCAGGCTCACTCTCGACCTCAATTCGAGTCTGGTCCTGATTCTGATCACCGCTACTGCGCTGCTCGTTCACTTGCGGTGCCTGGCACTGCGCAAGAGCCTCTATGAACTGTCCTGCAGATGCCGCTCCTGCGTCGTCCTCGTCCTGAGCCGAAACCTCTTCGGCGGGGTTCCACGACGAATGGGGGAACACGCAGTCCAACAGCCCAGCAAGACAGTGGCCCGACGGATGGTCACATGGGCGTTTCCAGAGGACAGGGGGCGGCTGTGGTTCGCCGTGGGCGCCATCGATACCACCCTCGCGTGGCAGTTGCCACAGCCCCGTTGCCCCCCTCCCGCGTTCCGCCGCCTGCGCCCAAGCCGTCCTCGTTCCAGGACCGGCGGAACTCCTCCTCCTCCTCCTCCTCCTCCGCCTCCTCCTCCTCCGCCTCCTCATCCTCCGACTCCTCCTCCTCATCCTCCTCCTCCGCCTCCTCCTCCTCCTCTGCAGGCCCGCTCGCGCGCGGCGAGGCGGGCGGTGCCATTGCGGAAGGCCGCTTGCAATACCTCAGGTGCTGCTCCAGGCGGTCTAGGTCCTGGGGCAGGACGCCGCTTCACGAGCGAGGGGTGCAATCGCAACCGACGAGAGGAGACATCCGAGATGGCGCAATACTCTTCCAACGGCAGCATGACCCAGGCAAGACAGTGGACACGTGGAACAGCAAGCCAAACATTGAGATCGCATAGTGGTGGCACCCTCGATGTTGCAAGGTCGGCCAATTATTCGGCCGCAACTGCGGATCGACGGGAAGGCCAAAGACGAGGGAATGATCGGGAGGAGGAGGAGGAGGAGGAGGAGGAGGAGGAGGAGAAGGAGCTGCACTCGCAGGAGGAGAAGGGAAACAGGGATGGGGAGGAGAGTAGCCCTCGACTCCTTTCAGCAGCGCTTGATCCGAGCGCATGCGTCAAAGGAATACATCCGAAGATTCACCACCATTCGAGCAGGGGATCGACTGCAAAATTGTTCGACCCCAAGTTAGCTTTCTCGCGGAATCCAATCAAAAATACGTGTGATCTTCGTAGATCGACGAACGTTTCACGCATTTCTGTAGATTCGATCAGAGAATCCATGTTTGGGGCAGTGCCCCTTAACAACCCGCGGCTCGGCAGAAGGCCAAATTCTGCCCGGCAGGGTTCTGCACTCTCCTGAAGGGACCCCCCACGCCTCGACGAGGCACACCGCGTGCACCGCCACCCCCCTCCTGAGACCACGGCCCCTAGCAAAAAAACAGCAGATCCGCGCTCACGGGGCCACGAGGCCTCACGAGGAGCCAAGGATTCGGGCCCCGAGGCAGGCAACGGAGGCGGCCCAGGATGCCCTCAGGACGTTCCAAGGAGACCCACAAACGGCCCAAGAGGGCCACAAGTGGACAACCAAGAGGCCCGAAAGAGCCGACGACTTGTTCAAACATTGGAGCGGCTTCGCCTGATCGGACTTCCGTCAGCTCCAGACGGCCCTCGAGGCCTCCAAGACGGCGCCAAGAGGGCCTCACGATCCTCCAGAACGGCCTCTCGAGACAGCAAGCCCCAGGGGGCCTGGCTGGCCCTGGATGGCCCCAAGAAAGCCACAAGCTGGCCCTCCTCCTCCTCCTCCTCCTCCTCCTCCTCCCCCTCCTCCTCCTCCAGCTCCTCCTCCTCCAGCTCCTCTCCTCCAGCTCCTCCTCCTCCTCCTCCTCCAGCTCCTCCTCCTCGTCCTCCTCCTCCTCCTCCTGCTCCTGCTCCTGCTCCTCCTCCTCCTCCTCCTCCTCCTCCTCCTCCTCCTCCTCCTCCTCCACAGAGGGCCTCCAGAGGGACCCAAGACGCCTCCGCGGGCCCATCGGCGGCCCAAGGTGGCCTCAAGACAGCCCGACGACGGGCGCCAGAGACCCACCAGACGGCCGAGAGGGTCCCAAGGCGGCCAAGGGGAGCTTCAATCAGGAGGGGAAAAAACACACAGACACAATTAATCGTCGATTTCCCAGAAAATATGGGAAAATATGGGAAGTGGGGGGGAAGACAAAAACCCAGAAAATATGGGAAAAGATGGGGAATCTTTTTATTTGTGTGTATTTATTTGTGTGTGTCCTGGGGCGCCTTCATTCAAGACGGCCAAAGAGGGCCCAAAGGCGGCCCAAAGTTGCGCCAGGGACCCCGAAGAATTGCCCCTCCGGAGCCCGAGAAAGGAAGGACGGAAGGGAGGAAGAGACGAAGACGAGAAGAGAACCCCCAGCACGACGCGGAAGCGTGTCACACATTGCGGCTTCCTGTGTGCCCTTCGACTTCGACCAATCGCTTCCCAAAGTACTGGGCTGGTACGGTGGGGGGACTTGCCGCAGGCAGCTGGACAGGCAAGCAACATATACGGTACAAGCAAGCAGCATAGAGCGGTGATGATAAAGCAGGCTGCTCAGCAACGTCATGATGCTGAGGTCACGCTGGTATGTTTCAAACATCTCGGCTAACGTCAATCAGCTGAACAGGTAAAAAACACATCCCTTGTGGATTATCTCATTACGACTTGGTGGGCCGACACAAATCAAGGTCAAATGGGGTCCGGTCGAGGAGACCGCGAAAGCTCCTCGCTCCGCAAGCGAAGACGGAGGGCGGGAGACACTACGGAAATGAAACGCGCATGCAAGAAAAGGGATGATACAAACGTCTACCAAAAGTGTATCATACGTCAGGCGTGCCAACACACATGATGAGGAATGAACTCTCAACTCGCTGCCAATGGAAACACTGTTGGCTGCGAACGACATGCTTGAGACTCTTGCGGCGCTCGTGTTGCAGAAATGCATCCACATCATCTGTCCACCGACGCCGCGGCCGACAGTCGGGGGCCAGCCGGGCGCCAGCGTAAAACTTGCGTGGGCCATTCTTGCGACCCGCTGGGTCGTGCCACGAGGCGCCACGTTGAACGGTCAATCACGACGAGCCAGTCTGACACTGGAAAACCTTGCAAAACAATCTGTACTTTTCGCTTGCATCGTCGCCCCGCGTCTTCCCAGCTCTCGCTGGGAAGCTTGCTGAAACCGACTACCCGACGGAGCCTTCTTGAACGAGTAGATGCAATCCTAGACCTATGCTGTGCTATCGTGGCGGTCGTTGAGAGACCGTAGACAGCCGTGGGGGTAACCACCGCGTCGAGAAGATTCGAGCGAAGGCGCGAACATATAGTTCTACTGAAAAGTACTGCCACTTGCCTGTCATCACGTCCCAGGCGTTCCACAAGTATCTCGGCAGGAAGTTCGGTGGCGATTTGCGGTGCAGATCAGAGTGCAATGTCAACTATCGCATGGAGTTCGCATGGGCGAAACTTCACTCCTAAAAAACAGCACTTTGAATAAAGCTATATCTGTGGGCCGACACAGACGAAGACTGCACCCGACGAAACCAGAGTAGACCGGACGCGACTATGACGAGACAAGACCATGCAAGGTAAAGCTAGTGCACGTTCGACCGCGCAAAGAAGAGGAAACACCTGGTAGCAGGATAAGATGGTAGGACCAACGGAGCAAGCATAGTACCAAACGAGCGGAAGTGCACCCGAGCTCCTCCTCTTTGGTGGCCTCGGGCACGGCGCAGCATGTTTGGCACCATGCGATGCATCAAACAAACCACAACCAATAAACCGAATCATCCCGCACAGCCATATGCGAAGCGCGCCCAGCTCAAGCTGCATGTTTAGCTGCATGATGACTGTGAGGAGGGACAGGAATGCAAACAGACGGTGAGATGACGAAGGGGTAGGGGGCGAGACGAAGAGATAGAGGCGACAACGCGAGACACGATACCATGAATCGTTCGTTCCTCCACGAACGGCTGGATGAAACAGCTGCCATGCACCAACATCAAACCACTTTCCGGGTAGGCGTGTCTCTCCTGACCTGCCTTGCTTCCACATGCGATGTGCAAAACAACATGTGTCCGAACTGGATGTGCGATTGCGATGATGGGCGCGATGTGCACCAACCGTGCGGCTCATTGTGCGGTCAGTATGTGGACGTGGAAAACACAAGGACATCAACTGAACCGACATCGTAAACCTCATGGCGGACCAACAGGAGCAGAGCCAAACGTAGGAAACACATACACACATTGTCAACGCGGGCGATGGTCTTCACACATCACGAGGAGTACGAATGCAGCGGCGCACCCGGCGTCGCACGACCAGCTCCGTTAGCCTCCCCATCCCATTTGAGTGTGCCGCAGACGCGGGGCAGAGACAGAGGAACACTGACTTCGCACTCGAACGTTCAAACCATGTCCAGAACATGCCCTGCGCATTGACGGATCACCATCATCTTCTGCGCCCGCCCCTGTTTCGACCGAGTTCCGCCGTCTTCTTCGGTGTTCCTCCTCCTGCTGTTCAGCTCCTGTGCTCATGCCTGCCTACCTCCCTGCGGAAACCCCTGGTCGAGTGAACGCCATGCTGCTACTACTGAATCTCAAGCAAGCTAACGACTTCACAGTAGCGGGCGAGCGAAGCCACATCCACGACATCGTGCTGGAATCTGGAAGAACAGGGCAGTTTTTAATACATTGGATTTGTAAAGATATCGGATGCTTAATACATGAATAATTTATGAATGAATTTATGCATGAACTCATCGTTGTTTTAAAAACTAGATCCCTGCATGTTTAATCCATGATCCGCACGCGGAGCATGTATAAAAAACGGCACTGAAGGCTCAATCCACGGAACAACACCGTTATCCGTCCACGAAGAAATCTGCCCAAACCCTCTTCTGCCGCTTGACGAGATGAGGGTTCCAGTCAAGATCCCGCAAAAGGTCAACCCGCAACGGCCTTGAAGCGGGCATGCGGGGGATGAGTATTCGATCAAAGAAGGAGGTGTGATAGAGTATTCGATCAAAGCAACATAAAAATGAAGGAACAAGGGAAAGGGGAGGACGGACGACGGGAGGGAGGAGCGGAAGAGGTGGAAAAAGGGAGGACACAGTCGAAAGAGGTCGGGACATGAAGAAGAAGAAGAAGAAGAAGAAGAAACAGAAGATAATGAAATCCTACACCGGAGCACTATTGTTCTGAAGTCCGCAATGGGGCCACACATGCACGCACATGCCGCACAGTCGCATGCATATGCCCGTGCAATCCTGCAAAAATCTCAACAACATGGGGGGGGCACATGCGCGCACATACCACACAGTCCAATGCACGGCGGTCGGATGCGCGATCTGAACAAACTCTGGTAGCGTAAACGCACATGCCCGCATATGCCGCAGAGTCGAGGATTGGGATGGGGGACAGAAAAACAAACGGGGAGGAAAAAAGACATATGATAGAGGAATGAGGGAAGGTGCACCACGGAAAACGAGGGAAGCGGATGACGCTGGTGTTCGAGCGGCAACACCATACCCAAATGAGGGACGTGGCAGGCGACAGCACCAATCGAACAAAGGGATGTGGCCAGCGTTCGGATGATGTATCACGCAAGGAGGCCTCAGGCGAAAGTAGCCTGATCGCTTCAACTCATGGCATCTCGGAAGCAAGATGACGAGGATGTCTCAGGCGAACATGGCTGGATTAACTCAGCTCAGGGCATCTAAGGACTGGACATTCCCGAGGTCAGAGTTGCGAGGATATCTCACGCGAAAGCGGACTGACCACCTCAGCTCAGGGAATCTCGAACCCAGAGTTACGAGGATGTTTCAGGCGAAGGTGGCCTAACCCCCTGAGCTCAGGGCATCTCGGAACCCAAAATTACGAGGATGTCTCAGGCGAAAGTGGCCGGATCACCTCAGCTCAGGCCATCTCAGAACCCAGAGTTGCGAGGATGTCTCAGGCGAAAGTGGCGACCCATCATGGGGCAGGGCATCTCCGAGGCCAGAGTTGCGAGGATATCTCAGGCAAAAGCGGACTGACCACCTCAGCTCAGGGAATCTCGGAACCCAGAGGTACGAGGATGTTTCACGCGAAAGTGGCCTAACCACCTGAGCTCTGGGCATCTCGGAACCCAAAATTACGAGGATGTCTCAGGCGAAAGTGGCCGGATCACCTCAGCTCAGGCCATCTCGGAACCCAGAGTTGCGAGTCTCAGGCGAAAGTGGCGACCCATCATGGGGCAGGGCATCTCCGAGGCCAGAGTTGCGGGGATATCTCAGGCGAAAGCGGACTGACCACCTCAGCTCAGGGAATCTCGGAACCCAGAGGTACGAGGATGTTTCACGCGAAAGTGGCCTAACCCCCTGAGCTCAGGGCATCTCGGAACCCAAAATTACGATGCTTTCTCAGGCGAAAGTGGCCGGATCACCTCAGCTCAGGTCATCTCGGAACTGGACATTTCCGACGTCAGAATTGCGAGGATTTCAAGCGAAAGTTGCCACGAGCTCCGACGGTGTCGCACGCGAAGTTGGTCGGACCACCTCAAGAAGCGCATGTTGGAACCCACCACTTTGGGGATGTCCCAAGCGAAACTGGCCAAATCACCTCAATTTGGGCATATCGGAACCGAGAATCACGAGGACGCCTTACGCAACACGGGCCGGAACACTTCGAGAATCGCAGATTGGAGCCCAGAGTAATAGGGATACCCCAAACGAATCGGAGCAAAACACCTGTCAAAACATATCGGAGCCCAGAGTTCTGACAATGTCCCACGCTGAACGGGCCTCCTCTTCCTCGACCTCCTTCTCCTCTCCCTCCTTGGGTGACATTCGCCACCATGCCGCCTGAGATGCGAGTTCCGCACGCCTGCTCCTCCTGGTCCTCTGCCATGTCCTCCCCCCCTCCTTCTACTCCCGTCCCCCTCCGTCTGATTCCCTTCCTCCTGCTACTTCCGTCCCCCCTCCTTCCACTCCCGTCCCCCTCCTTCTGCTTCCCCTCCTCCCCCTCTGCTCCGCCTCCTCCTCCCGTTCCTCTGGCCGAGCAGAGGAGGCGCGGGGGAAACATCTCCATGGGGCACTCCGGCAAGCTCTGCACGGCCACTGGACGGCGACAGAGGGCGAACCCCGTGGACGCGACCCGCGGGCGAAGGGCCGCTCCCACGAGCAGTGGGCGGATCGAGCGCGCAGGCGATCCCCTCCTGGCCACAGGGAGCCTCAGGAAACCTGACAAAACCCCAGGGAACTATGCGAAGGCCACGAGGCACTGGAGGCCCTGCTGAGGATCCCCAAGAACCCCGAGGGCATGTGCGTCGGCATGTGCGAGCACGTGCGGACGCGCGTTTCAGCGCACGCGGGTGGATGCACGGGCCTGCCCGGCTATCCGCAGGAGGACTGCACAAGAGTGTGCGTGCATGTGCCGCCGGCAGATCTGCAACGATCGCAAACCTTCCGCGCAAGTTCAGGCATGCGCGCCAGCATGCGCGCCAGCATGCTCGGGCATGCGCAGACACATGGTGCACCAGGCACAGCGCACGTGACCCTGCACATGCTCGGGCGCGCATGCACGGTGGGACATCCAACCCGAGGGGCCCGCACATGCGGGGGGCACGTACCAGGCGCGCGCAGCGCGCGCCAGCACAAAAGCGCGCCGCCCACACACCCACGAAGTGCGCGCGGCGCAGCTCAAAAGAAGCCGAGAAGGCGGGACACGCAGAAAAAGACCGGCTCACTGGCAACGGCGCTGCTCGATCGGCTCCGCGCGCGCACCCCGTGCAGAGCGAGAGCCGGCAACCTGATGCCAAGCGGGTGCCCCTGCATGTCCAGCGCACCGCTGCAGCGCTCTCCCACTTGATCTTTCCGTGCCCGCGCTCGCTGGCCCCGGAGAGGCACGTGCCGCGCGGGCCCGCCCGGCTGGGATCCGGCGCTGCGTGCCGGCCAACCTCCGCCTCGAGGCCGGGTCGCGGCTGGCCAAGAATCCGGGGCGACGCAAGGCTCGGGTTCGGGGAGCTCGGGCTGGCGTGACGGGGCCGTCATGAGTGGCGAGACCCTGTCCGAACTTTGACGCAAGATCCCGCTGCAAGCATCCCACGAAAATTATTGGCACCGTCAAGCTCGGGGCGCGCTCGTCAAAGAGCGTCGGCAGACCAGAGGTCTGGCGCACTCGAGTCTCACGTTTCCCTGGCAATTGCGGGGCTACCCTTATAAGGCGCCAGCCTTGCATCTACAGACAAGGTCCGCGCCTTCTGAGAAGCAGGGGTGCTTCCAAGAAGCCTTCCCCCCTCCCCCTTTCGGCTACACGAAAGAGTGACCCTGGGTAATAGTGACCTTTGGTGCGCGGCTCTTTCTGGGCCGCGGGGGGACCAACCCTGGGCGCGCAAGCCGCTGCTCCTGCTTCGCTTCCAGCCATCTGGGGACCCATCTGTGCCCGCACTCAAGGTCACTCCGGCGAAAGGTCACTCTTACGTCTAGTCGACCCTACACCCCTCTGCGCTTTGGACGCCCGAAATGGGTACGGAAAGAGTGGGCACTATGCCCAACAACAAATGTTGTCCCAAGCCAACAGCGGCCGCCGTTGGGCAGGCGGCCTTCTGCCTCGAATGGACACAGGCCGCGGCGGCGTGGACAGCGAATCATGTTCAAAATGAACAGGAATGGTTGTTGGGTATTGTACCCATTCTTTCAGTACCCATTTCGGGCGTCCAGATGCGCGTGGCCGACAGCGCCACGTGGCGCCACGTGGCGTCGCCGGCCTCGAGGGACCCCGCCACAGCCGGCCTGCCGGAGGGGCGCCGCCAGCAGCCCTCGCGATCGGCAGCGCGTCGGGCACGGCGGGCCTTCGGCGCCGCCGCGCACGGCCCCAGGGGCCCACGGGGGACGACCGCCGCTGCAGCTCCCGCCGCCTCCAGGGCCGCTGGAAGCAGGAGAAGACGAAGAGACGCCAGAAGCTTGTGTTTGTGCCGCTTCGTCTTCTTCGAGGCTCCCGCCGCCGCCGCCGGGGCCACCGGAAGGGGCGCCGGCGGCGCGGCCGCGGCCGGCGGAGGGAGCGCACCAGCGGCTCCCGCGGCTGCCGGCGGGGCGCTGGCGCGTTCGAACGGCGGCCGCGGGCTCTGGCCAGCCCCTGCGGCGGCGCCGGCGGCAGCCCGGCGAGGACCCCGAGGGGTCCCGCGGTGGCGCAGCTCGAGGGGGGGCCGCGTTCGGCGCGCGCAGTGGCGCCCAAGCCCGCAGGGGCTGGGCGTCCGTGTGGGGGGGGGGGCGACGGGCCTGACCCTCCACCCCGCAAGCTCGCGAGCACAGTGTTGGCGGCGAGAGCGCGTCGGCCAGTGGAGGCAGGAAGCAGGAGCGCGGTGGAAAGAGGAGAGAGGAAGTCGAGAGGAGAGGCAAGACAACCCACGCGAGGGGAGATGCAAGATACCGATACACGAGGGGAGGGAATGAATGCGTAAGCGAGCGAGCGAGCGAGAGGGAGAGAACTACAGGAAGAAAGAGAGAGAGAGAGAGAGCGAGAGAGTGATAGATAGAGAGAGAGAGAGAGAGAAAGAAAAGAAAAGAAAAGAAAAGAAAAGAGAAGAAAAGAAGAGAGAGAGAGAGACAGAGAGAGAACCATGAACCAACAAGAGAACGTTCCGCGTCGGATTCCTCAGATCGGCGTGGGCCTCCCCCGCACCGGCGCGCGATCCCGCTGGGCCCAAAGCAGCTCGAAATCGGTCCCCCGACCCCTGGACCCAGCCGTGGCGACGAGAGGCCTCCTGGGTGGCCCAAAGAGCGGACGCTCAGAGCGCCCAGGGAGGAGCGACGTGTCGTCTCAACGGGCCCTCCTCCGAGAGGGGCGCCCTCCTGGTCGTGATCGTGGGAAAAACACACACACACACACCGCAGCTCTTGGGCAGCGCCACACACACAAACAAAAAAAAAACACGCGCTAAAACACACACACACACACAAAAAAAACACACACACACAACATAAAACAAAAAAAAAAAAAAAAAAAAAACACGCGGCGCGGCGGCTCTCGGGGCAGCGCCGCCCCGAACCCCCCCCCGCAAGGCCCCTCGGCCCGGGAGCCTGGACGTCACGTGGTCGTCCAGCTTGAACTTTCTGGCCAGCCGCTCCACGTCCTCGCTCGAGCACCGCGTATCCGACCCCCGTCCCCAACGGCGTGGCCTGGGCCCCACTGGCCGATTTACCCGCCCAGATGGGGGGGGGCATAGGCCGTTCCCTTCGGGTTTCGAGGGGTGTCCCCAACTGGGGTGGTAATTTGGTGGGGGTCTCGAAGGGGATGGGGATGGGGATGGGGATGGGGATCGGTTGAACGATACTGATCGCTAGGCCAGGGGGGGGAGGCAGAGAGGAGGACCGGGAGGGCGGGGAGGGGGAGGCAGTCGGAATCGGAATCGGAACAGTTGCGGAGCAACATCAACCCGTCAGCCAACTAGGAGGTCTTCGGTCGAAGCCCACTCATAAACCTGTCCAGGTACTCACATCTCTTACGTGTAATACTCTGTGGCTGGCATTCAAGACCCAATCGACGGAGCTGGTCCTTTCCAAACGCACCACAATTCCTGCGAATCCGACCTGACACGACAGAGGAATGCACGATCCGACTCGGATTAGGTCGGGCATGTCCCCCTACAGGATGATTTTCGAGGGAAAATAAAATAATCAAAAAATACTCCAAACAGGTCAAAAATACTAGAAAAATCGTCCCCAGACTATTTTGTAAACCATTTTGGAAGATTCCTCCTGCAGAAGGATAGGCCCGACTTAAGACTCGGAAAGACGAGTCGCAATGGACCCCAGGGAGGAGTGCAGGGCCAGGGGATCCGCCGTTGGCCACACCGGCCCTCCTCGGAGAGGCCGGAGGGGGGGGGGAGCCTCTGACCTTGCGATCGTGGGCGCTCCCTGATGGTACAGGAACCCAGCCTCCTCACCAACATCCACGCGGGAAGGACTGCCCACTCTGGGGGAGGAGGAGGAGGGAGGAGGACACGAGCTGGAGGCCAGTCCCGCCAGACGCTCCGACCCGATCCAGCGAACGACTCGCCTGGGACGGATCGCACGGGTGGAGGCACAGGGCCCGTCATCGCTCGGACGTGCACCCCCCGTGGCTTTTTTTCGGCATGGCGTGCGTACATGTTCGCAAGATGGCCATAAAGGCTCCTCGCTGGTCGTCGCCGAGAGGGAAACGCACACGCCCGAGCGATGCAAAGAGGGAGCCGAAGGACGACAGGACGAAACGAGAGGAAGTGGGCAGGGAAGGAGGGAGGACCTTGACATCCTCTTCCCTCCTGCTCCTGCCCCAGTGCAGTCGGACCGCAGGGCAGAAGACATCAGAACATGAGAACCTCCGCCGGCCAAAACACACAGAGAACGTCCAAGGGCCCCCCCCCAGGATGCACAAGAGCATCCAACAAGCACGACGAACGTCAGGGTACCCTTAAGTCGGGCGTGTCCCCCTCCTTACAGGGGGATTCTCGACGAAAAGCAAAAAAATGCTCCAAAATGGTAAAACATATCTACAAAAACAGCCCCCAGACTATGCTTTGACTGTTTCTGAATGCTCCCCCTGTAGAGGGGCAGGCCCGACTTCAAAGGGCACCCTCCCCGAGCCGACCTCGATCTTACCTCTCGGCCCGGCTGCAGATGCAGCACGTGTGCGGCCTGCGAACCTCTGCCTGCCACCGCGGACCTCGTGCCCTCCGGCGCGGCACCGGAGGGCAGGCCAAGGCCCGGGAGTGCCCCGCGTCGCGACGCCGCCGGCACCGGCAGCGGAGGCGGAGCGCGGAAAAAAGTCCCGAGGGGCGCGCTGGCGAGGGAGGCGAGGCAGGAGGAGGTACCCAGACCTCCAACGCATTGAAAAAAACAAGGCGGAGGTTTTTTTTGTATTTCGTGGCCTCTAGGGGCGCTCGCCGGGCCACGGGGCCGTCCAAAAACGACGCAGGGGTGGTGGAAAGCCGGTCCGGGGGAGCGGGTCGAGACTTCGGAGGACCGCGCATTGAAAAGATCACGACATCGGATCTCAGGGGGAGGCCGAGGACGGGATCCAGGATGGCGGGGCCAGGAGGGGGCGGCGGGACCCAGACACGCGACGTCCTGTTGTTTTTGCAGTGCGCGGCCCCAGGGAGTCCCGACCCTTTCCCCGGGCTGCTGTTTCATCCCGAGT